GCTCCTGAACAACGCAGCGATTCCACCCCCGAAGTAAAAATTACCCACTAGGACTATGCACGAAGCTTTTAACCACAGAACTCAATCCAAACAATGCGTTGAGCTTGGCCGTATAGTTTCACCGTAGCCGCGTTAGCGTGGGTGTGTTAAATGAGGTGATATCCCGCCATCGTAAATGTGGATTATGATATCTTTCTAGTTCCATTTAGGTCCATTGGATTCAATGCTGACCCTTGGACCCCCCTGGACCAGTCACTGTTCTCTCCTGAGCACCGTGGACACAGCCTCATGTGCTGTGTGATTGACGCGTCGTGGGATGATGTTTGCCGTCATGGCCGGGTGCTCAACAGCCAAGAATGACATGTATTTGCGTAGATAAGAGATTGTCCACATAGAGGCAGATCTCCGGATTTTTCTAGAACGTTCTTATTAAAGTGAGACCCTTCGACACAACCGATCTACGGTGCAATGGAACAGATAGATGAAAGCACGGCCCGGAGGATTTCCTCAATAGTCCCCGTCCCGGTTGCAAATTTACTCCGTATTTGGCCGTATAGGAGTAATTGCGAACCTGTGGTAGCTCATTGCAATGCTAAGTGCGTAAGGGAAGATGCTTGTGTGCTTAGTATATACATGCACTCTATCAATATCAATGGAAATCCATTAGCATACTCGATCACAACATAGTCACTCAACTTCGGTTATCAGGGCCCCCCAATATCCCCTGCATACTTTTGGCCACCTCAAGCATGGACACATGCGGAGATATTTATACCTGACTCGCCTTAGAGCTCACGATCCTTGCCTGAATTCCATATATCAAGCCACCGATGTAATCCCGAAAAGGTTAATCTAAATATGTCATTGCTCCTCGCATCATCAGGAATGTCGAGAACGGCCCTGGCGATAACGACGTTCCTCTCGGGCCAGGTATCCAGTTACCATGGAAAGAGGACACACAGCATCGCCATACTTCGTGAAGTCTGTCCTTTTTTTCTACCTACACTACTTGTATCTTGCTATAAGCACATTCAAACGCCATTATTCTTCCTCCTGAGTATCCCTACGAAGGTAGATGGATATAGTTACCACATTAATCCTAGTGCACACACATAACTTCACAAATGCCAACCCTTCATAAAACACGCACTACCAAATGCAACCCAGTTCGCAAACGCTCTAGAACAAAAAATCCTAATTGCAAAAAATCCCCTACCCAGAATGCAAAAAAAAAAAACGCTTACGTTATGCATGTTTCAGTGGAACCCTTGCAATATCGGGGATGAGAAACAGCACCTAGCTAAGAAACATATGTACTTAGTATTTGGCACTTGGCACTTGGCAGTTGATGATGGGTGACAATTGGATTGACTTTTGTTACATTGTGAAGGTGGGGCTGAAACTTCCTCCGCGTTTCAAGTATCTTTGTTTTTGATGTGCGATTACGTGTGTGGAATCGAAATGCGGGGGTGTCTTTGGGAATCAGTGGGTTTTGATAGGTGGTGGGCTTTCTTGCATATGTCGTACTGGGGTGGATTGGGTGCTTTCGTAATGTGTCTTGGTGGTATGAGGTCCTGGGTGGGTGATACGTATATGGATTCCTGTCAATCCGAAGCTTTGTTCACGCGGCCTGGGCCTGTTGTGGGGGGTTGGCTGTCGGGGAGGGGATATGGAAGGATTAGGCTTCGGGGCTTTGATTGATGGGTAATACTTCTCAGGGTTTGATGCGTACTACATTGGATTAGTATTGGAGTCATGTAGGGTCCGGCACTTCTCGAGAATAGCAGGATAGAGTGCAACCAAGCCCGCTTTACATTCCTGCGGGAGAGAGACCTAGCATCGACAGTGTACAAAAGTCTCGGAAATAGTAGAGTTGACCAGATACCACATATATTTCATTCATGCTTGTCTATATATCTATGACTACGATCAGGAATGCATCAGTCCTCATCATCGGCATGCTCCCGGTCCTCAAAGTTCATAAACTCTTGCTCATTGGCTTCACCCCCCATGACTAACTTCCACGCGTCCTTCACCCGGTCGATCAATGCATCATCGAAAGCAAGGTCCAGACTAGGGGGTGGAAAGCATAGGATATTGGGCGAGGGGCCTTCCAACTTAGTTGAGTGTCCACTGGCACCATTGCTAATTAGGCCCAACTGTGTGTAACGCAAAGACCACAAGACCTTCGCATCTGGTGCTGCATCGGACTGAAGAAGTCTGTGCACAGCATTCTCAATCAATGACTGACCTTGAGCACCAGCAATGCTCACACTACCATAGACGACACCTAACACATCTCAGTTAGCGAAATGGTCACAAACGGTCATTGTGCATATAACAAGTAAGAAACACGCTCAAGATCAGATTGATAAATTTTCATCAATGCAATTACAGGCAATGTAGATAAGTATTTTAAAAAGGTGCATCATTTGAGCCATTGGGTTGATGTGGAGGGGAGGTTGTACTCACATTGGCCTGACGGACACTCGCCAGTTTCACTTGAATGCACCAAGAGATAAACTGGCGGTAGATCATCTGACTGATCAAAAGAGCTTCCCGGAAATACCACGACTGCTCCGGCGGGAATTGGCCCGCCTTCTGCCGTGGCAGGGAAAAGACTCTCGAGGGGGGACGAGACAATGGTGACGGACCGTGCCACTTTATCACAAGCGGGACGCTCCTGTCCAGGAAGATCCCAGTTAGAACCAACCACAAGCTTGGTCTTAACTGTCTCATCGTTGGACAGATGCAACTCAACACGCATGCCATCACCATCCTCAGACTGATGCAGATTGGAGATTGACCCAACCCCAGCATTTAACACGTATACCCCGCCTCCCACTGCGAGGGCGCGGCACCCAACCTGAGAAATCTCAGAACCACCGCCCCATTTCGCCAGCAGACTTCCAAATCCGGGACCAAATACGCCAATAGAGGCAAGATGCCTTTTGATTCGAGGCACTGCATACTCAGCATTTGTCTGCCCGGGAGAAGCCTGTGATAACGAAAGGGACAGCAGAGGCTCATGGAGCTCAGTGGGCACTTGGAACTTGGATGTCAAGTACTCCGGCAGAGACATAGCCAATTTTTCTTCCTCAGGTTCCGGATCGCCATCCTGTGGAGGCTTGCCAATATGGCGAAGAAACCTCATCAAGGTCCTTTTGGACTTGACGCTTATTACGTCATCCGCGAAGATGTCTTCGCGACTACCAGGCACCCTATACAAAACCGAACTACCATCAGTACCGCTCGAGTCGGGCTGAGGTTTGTCTATCCACCAGCTCCCGACAGCCTGAAACTCCAATTGCCGGTATACCTTGGAAGCCACAAGGGTAGGTAGCAGTCGCGACTTGGAATAAATCAGGTGCGGAGACAAGGTGACTGTATAGGACCGTGCTGGCAATTGGGGAGTTCCTTCAGGGAGATATACCGTCGCATCCTCAAATGGGTAATGCTCAGGTTCTAGCGTATCAACCATGGTTAGAAGGTTGTATTGCCTTCGCCTAGAAGACTACTCACCCCCATTCACCTTAGAAGCCCACTCCTGTGCCTCTTGGAGGCTGAATGCTGCCTCAGAAGCTCCATAATATGAGTTCTGATCAACATGGAGTACCTTCTTGCCTGACCGCGATAGGGCCCTACAAGCAATTAGTCATCCGTGATCTTCGACGAACCTTTGATACACAAAGTTATACTCACAGTGCCAAGAGGGACTGGGCTAGTCCGGTGCCAGAGATTGTTACATCCCATGGCGTTTCTGCAAGCGGCTCCATGGCGGCCTGTGTAGCAGATAAAGCTGGAGAGAAAGGTTAAGTGCTGTATTTACAATGGACAACTCCGACTATCATCACGTCGGGTGGCAAGCTGTAGAAACCCTCTTAGCAAGGACCGTCCAGCCCATTGGTGGTGGTGCGACGACCATCCGTGCAAGAAGTGAGGGGATTCTTGGAGGGAGAAAAAAAAGAAGAGCAAGGACACACGCAGAAATAATTAGACCCGCTAGTATATCACGTGATGAAGGGAGCTCCGCTCGTTCACACAGATGATATCGCTTATAATTATGTTAAAGGGGATATTGCTTTTATTAACTTGTGGGTTACGAGATTTATACCAGTGGCTATAGGGCTGATCAATACAGGCCACGGACTTTGTGCCAAAATCACCTTGTACCATCGTTTTAACGTTGTTTGTATGGAGGTAGTCGCACGTGTTCTATATCTTGGATGTATCACGAAAGCACCTAGACTTTACCCAGGGGATTGATCTCGCAGTCCTGATTAAAGATAGGATTTACAATGACGCCACATGTTTGCTTTGATCTCAGCAATGTTTTTTGGAATGACTGTTGCTGGATATGATATTGTAGCTACTACTACTAGTAGTAGTCTAGCTGTCTGAGGCTGGGCGAACATGGTACTATACCTAAAATAGCTAGGTCATTTCGCGAACCACTTAAGGCTCGATTCTCCAGCGCACAAAGTTTCTTTCTCTTTACACACCACTCTCAGTGCTCTGCACAGGCATACTGCTATTCAACCGTGGCAGTACGCCTTTTCAGACATGCCTTCATTGGTCATGTCGTCTATGGGAGTGGTAGATAGGACTCCAATCACTCTGTATCTGCTGCTCTGGATGGTAACATTTGATGGAAGCAGTTCGTTTGTAGTGATACATTCCATTATTCTATCTGCTTTGTAGTTCATAAAACTCTGCTGTTTCAACAGTAACACGAATTAAGGCCGATAAGTGCAGTAGCCTCTTCAGGTTCTCCCAACTCGGCGTGTACACTAGGATGCAAATATTGGTCCAAAGCATACGTTAGCTGTGTTCCCAAAGGGAGGTGGCTGAGGCTGTCCTAATCTTGAACCTCTGCTTAAACGCAAGCGAGTAACTTCAAGGACTCGTCTGCTAGGGATGAATGGCTGGAATGATATCGTTTTGGACCTCAACCTCCCGGTTGTTCGAGATGCCAACGATATCTTAGTCCAATCTCCATCTCACTCTTCCCCTTCCTCAACGACCCTAGCACGAAGGATCTTGACCTCATCCACCGGTCTATCTTCTCCATTTGTCTTAACAAGTCCCATGCGCTGAATCACTCTCATCCCGCTCTTGACCCTGCCAAAGACTGTGTGCTTGCCATCTAGCCACGGCGTTGGGGCTAGGGTTATGAAGAATTGGCTGCCGTTTGTATTCGGTCCACTATTCGCCATGCTCAAGATACCAGCACCGGTATGTTTAAGCTCTGTACGAATCTCGTCCTCAAACTTCTCGCCGTAGATAGAGCTTCCTCCCCTGCCAGTGCCGGTGGGATCACCCGTCTGGACCATAAAGTTGGGAATGATGCGGTGGAAGATGACATTGTTGTAGTAACCCCTTTGCGCGAGTGTCGCAAAGTTCTTACAAGTCTATAAGCAACGAAGGAGTCAGGCCCAAACTAAACTCTGTGTTTGCGATCGCAGCGGAGACGATATACTGACTTTTGGTGCATGCGAATTATAAAGCTCTACCGTGAACGAGCCCTATGTGGAATTAGTGAAATGCAACATACTATTAGACTAGACAGCTCTAATTACCATGCTCGTATCAAAAGCCACGTCAGTCGCCATAGTTGAAATTGTAACTGAAAATCAGCTGGACCTGCAAAGATGGAAGTGAAAGATACGCACAAGCTGCGGGCGGGGGAGTGAAGTCTCCGGCTTGGCATTTATGAGTGAGCTGCAGGGCTCCATGTGATGCAATCTGTTAATGTCTCCGTTCTTTCCTCAGTAAACACAACCTTCAGCCATGGATTAAATAAACCCGACATTGGACAGTACACCCTACTAACTTGGATCAACGCTACGAGGGCTTTTTATTGTACATTCTGCGATTAGCTCCTCAAAAGTCGACATGACGGAGGTTAGCCCATTCGCCGAATTCTTGGGCCAGGCGATCTACCAGTTCACAGCCGTAAAGCCTCTTTTGCCGACATACGCGCATCTGGTTGTTTCAGTTTTGTTTCCTATCTACATTGCGTCTCACGCCTCACTCTCACGACCGTCTTCCGCAGCCGAACCGCCCAAAAAATCCCAAGATGCAGACGGTGATGAATCGGATGATGAAGACGAAGATGAGGAAGAAAAGAGCGATGATCGGAGGGTCGAAGGCCTTGCGCCCAGTGATGCTATAATATTTCCTTTGACTGCTGGTCTCACACTTGGAGGCTTGTACCTCGTGATGAAATGGATGGGAGCTGATAAATTGAATAAGATATTGGGGTTCTATTTTTCACAAATGGGCCTCTTCTTTGCCACCGCTTTCGTGAAAGACAGCCTTACGGTGCTGAGGTCCTTTGTATTTCCACGGAAATATAGCAAAGCTGGCCAAACCTGGAAGGTCAAGCAATCGGATCGTGTTTTCAAAGTTGTACAAGAAGGCTCGACTACTCCAGAAACGTTGGAGGCACGGAACTCTCCACTCCCAGGTATCTTTGGCTCTATCCAGTTACCAGGGCCAGTTCTCAACCTTCTTTGGACCTGTCGTAACCTGTTATACCAACGGGCCAAACTTCGGATTGTTCTGCGTCGCATTATCAAGACTGAATGCTCAATTGGCCTTCTGGATCTATTTAGCGTGGGCCTGGCTTTGCCTGCTATCGGCTATTTCACTTTCGTTACGAAGCCTTGGTGGTTAACTAATTTTCTGGGGTTTAGCTTCTGCTACGGCACTCTACAATTTATGTCGCCATCTAGTTTTCTCACCGGATCGCTCATTCTGAGCTCGTTATTTTTCTACGACATCTACTTCGTTTACTTCACCCCATTGATGGTAACTGTTGCAAAGGGTCTGGATGTTCCAATCAAGCTCGTTTTTCCTCGCCCGGCGGCACCTGACTCACCCCCAGACGCCGTCTCTTTGGCCATGATAGGTTTGGGTGACATTATTATTCCGGGTATGATGATTGGATTGGCTCTGCGTTTTGATCTGTATCTCTATTACAAGAGAAAGGGGCTACAGAAAGCTAAAGCAGAAGGCACGACACAAGAGATTGTTAAGCCCGTATACCAATCTGCAACCGGGGGATGGGGAGAGCGCTTCTGGGTATCATCAGTCGCTCCCACTCGATCAGCTCTTGAACCACCTTATCACGATGCTCGGGCTTTCCCGAAGACGTACTTTAAAGCCAGCATGATAGGCTACATCGTTGGGACACTTGTAACACTCATTGTTATGCAGTGCTTCAACCACCCCCAACCTGCTCTTCTCTACCTGGTTCCCGGAGTCTTGATTTCCTTATGGGGAACTGCCCTCGTCAAAGGCGACCTCGAAGAGATGCGGGAATTTTCTGACGCCGAAGAGGAAGAGAACGATGCCGAGGAAAAGTCGGAGAAGCCGGAGGAAGCTCCTGCTGCGAATGCTGGTTTCTTCCGCCGTATCCTGTCAGGAGAGATCAACAAGAGCAGAAAATCAGAAGCGTCTTCTAAAAGACTTGACAATGAGGAAAGCCCAGCCGAGGCTAAGGGGGACCGCCCTGACGAACCAGAGAAATCCTTGAAAGGGGCTAATATAAAGAACATGGAACTGTTCACGATTTCGTTGTACATTCCCCATAAGACCAGGACTGATGAGACTGATCAGCCAAAAAGCCCGGCTGAGGATGTCAAATCCACTGTTGATGACGAGAATTGGTCTTTTGTTGGCAACACGGAGCGAGAGGACGAGCCTCCTGCGAAACGACGTCGAAGGAGTCCCAGGAAAGCCGGAGCAACTTCTTCGCCCGCTAAATGAGTACCAACGAATATCAATGTATTTTAACCTTCGCAGTGAAAACACAACTTGACCTACCAAGTTCGGTGGGGTCTTATTTACTTGCCTGTTTAGATCGGCAGCTGTAATCATAAAGAGAGGCATACATGAAGACGAATCTTTCAATTGGTATCATTAACCGTAACCTTCACTATTTGTTCAATCACATGGTAGTTCTAGCACTGTTGAAGAATTTGTTTTATATCCTCCCATCTTTGCGCGGATATTTCTACTAGAGCCTTCAGCTCTTTGGCGTCCACAGCCCATCCGCCATTCTTTTCCAGTTTCACAACAACAGTCTTCCCCTTTCCGCCTTGCTCTTTGTCAACTACGACACAGACTCTCTCCTGGCTCAGCCCTTCCTCGTAACCGTCGGGATCGGCCAGGATCCACCTCCGTTGGTTTCCCTTCCTAGAGCTATCATCAAGCTCCCTCTCCTCGTCAGCATTTGGAATGACCTCAGATCTCCACCCAGAAGCCGCATCAGCCTCGAAAACAGCGAAGGAGCTCGAGACAGGCAGCCCCTGCAAAGACAGCTTGCGCGCCTCCGAGATAGCGTCCGAACACACCACCATTTCGTTATCAACATCCCACCACGCCCGGGGCAACTTCGTATCTTGAAGCGCGGCAAGGACAGCCGCCCAAGCAGCATCAAAGGGATTACCAGCCAGCGAAACAATCATAACATCAATATAAAGCACCCAGAAAGCCTTAATCTCCCTGTTTTTATCGGCGCCAGCTTCTCCTTGGGGCGCATCTACATCCATCTGCTCGTTTTCATTATGACGTTCTAGTTCCTCAGGCCCCAGATTCGATGGTTGATACCAAATTCGTAGGTCCTCCGCACGGACTAGTCGTGTGCTGTGCAACAATGTGAGGATTTGATGGGACAACGACTGTGCCAATGCTGAGGGAGGTGCGCCCGGGATAAAACCTGGCGCGCATCCGGTGCTCAGTGAGAGATTAGGCACTAAAAGGTTGAAGTCTTGAATGTGCGATTCATCGTTTTCTTCATTATTGTCGCCAGGTGTTTCGCTCGGCTTGGCCGCAGGATCCGTTAGCTTGCGGCGCTTGTTTACTGGAGTGGATGATGATTCTGGCGGTGGTCGGGATACGCTCCACGATGCAATGTCTTCTGTGTGCAGGATTTCCGCGCGAACACCGCATACGGCAGTGGTATCGCCGAGTCTCACTACGGCACTACCATTCGTATGGGTCAACGAGCCCGTATTGGCAGACGTAACACGGAACTGTGAAGAGGCACGGCCGTTGGCTCGGATAGATGGTTGATTGCTCGATGGGGGAGGTGATAAGTGGGCAAGAAGGTAAGCGTGAGGTTGAAGCCGCGCGAACTGTGAGGGGGGCAGAGTAAGAGACGGAGGAGTCGGTTGTGCAGCTGCAGCTGCGGCTGGAGCCATTTTCAAATGAGAACAATCCACGGGTGGATTCAACCAGCCGATAGGGAAGATTGTAGAATGCGGGGAATAGCTGGATTTCCCGATCTGGTCGCTCTTGTTGGTCGTTGGAAAGAAGCTGCAACTTATTTTTCGGCGGCAGAATAGTTTCGATATTATAGGCGGTGAATGCTGCGCAAGCCAATAACGCTGCGGAGTATTTAGCCACCAACAACAACTCGCATTCACGCTACTACTACTAGCATAACCTACTAATTCCTTTAGTTGGATATAAACACTTTCTGCGCAATGTGTGAGGGGTTTGCTCTTCTGCCAATGGGCATTGGTCTATTGCGAAAGGTATAGTAGAAGCACCCCTCACAAGTCAAATTGTATGACCAAGAGCCGCAGAGCCGGTGTTGCTACTACTAGTATGGAGGAAGACCAGTTCAAATAGCGCGTTCATAGTGAAATGAACAAGCAACGCAGTCACGTCTCTGCCTTACAATCGACCATCATGACATGGCAATACATATGAGGAACCCGACGAAAGAGCTTCCGCGTATTTTTCAAATCCAAGATGCAAAAGAAGCATCCCCTCACTCCCCAGAGCCAGAAGCCATACCCGTGACGAGAGGCGATTTGATGGCAATTTTGCTTGTATGTAGCCAGTCTAATTGAACGTTTCAGAGCTATGTTCCAGGGATCGTCGCCTGATCTATATATAAATACGAGATGTCGTCGATCGCGTTAGTTTCCGAACGGGAGTCCTGATCTGGTCTGAGCGAAGAGGGCCGAAGACAAAATTGAAAAGCAACACGATATAATATCTGCTGCACGATGGTATGTCCTTACGGCGATGCTCGGTTTGGGGGCTTTTAACTGGTGAATGACAGTCGTAAAGTTATTTTGCTCGTGATTGCATCATTTGTTACGAGCCAAGCAAGGACAATAAGGTTCCTAGTCCTGAGTAGGCAATACTAAGTTATCGTGTTTTGCGTTGATCAGAATGTTTCTGTGTCTATTCTCGGACGTATAACTCGAGCACAAATGATGCATCTTGCATATTATTTCCAGATTTGGCTCTTTCGCAAGAGCTGGCCTGTCTCAGGCCGCATATCTAGCATATTCTTATGGTTTATCCATCAATGAGTGCAGAACTGTGCTGCAGACCTGAAGAAAATGACCTATTCGGGGTATCTGGATCTCGTATTCAGCAGATGGCGGCATTTCCTTGGCTCGTTGTAATGTTTTGGCCAACCTGGCCTGAGATTATTATTCAACAGGCGTCCAAATCGCGATGTGCCCGGCATCCCAAGTGTGCTCACTGAGAAAAGCAATTCAACTTTGGTATACCTTGCATTGCCGGAAAACATGTCACTATAGTTGACCTCCGCCGTGGATCTTCTATACCTACATTCTATGGCTGGCATCAAAACTATGAGGACAACTATGCACGAAGGCAACTGAAGGCTTCACAATACTCTTTGGAAGGAAATATGAACGCACCTTTTGCAACAGGTATATCCAACGAAGGATCTCCGCCTTCCTCACAACACCGATTAGGTGGACAATGTTACAATCACTATCGAAATCGCAGCTCAGTGTCTGGGCACGGTGAAAACAACTCGCCGAGGGATGACTATATTACGGGGATGGCCAGGTCCAAGATAATATGGCCTGACGAGACCGAACACTGCTGGAGCGATGCGGTAACAGCTGATGCGGTTCTTTCTTTACTTCGTAAAGATCCGGTCCAATCTCCATCGAGCAATACTTCTAGAAGCGGCGGGAGTACCCCAGACCAAATCCGTCTGAATTGCACCGTCTGCTTTAGATATCTTAAGAATGATTCATACCCAGAATCGCCGATTGGAACTGGCTGCAACCACTCAACCATGCCTGAGATGCACATATGCAAAAACTGTCTTCGCCGGAGTTTGGAAATACAGTTCTTTTCCTCGACTTTGGGGTCTCTGACTTGTCCTCTCTGCCACGAGCAACTATCAGATGACGACGTCCAGCGGTGGGCTAGCAAAGAGACATTCGAAGCCTATGACTACGTACGAACTCGGCAAATGTTAGAAGAGGACGCCGAGTTCGTCACTTGCGTCAGGCAAGATTGCGGATATGGGCAATTACATGCCGGTGGCTTAGAAGATCCAATTGTCGTTTGCGGCTCGTGTGGGACCCGGACGTGCTTCATACATCGACATAATGTCTGGCATGATGGTTTAACATGCTCGGAATATGAAGAGTATATTAACCATAGAAGTGACGACTTCGAGGCACATAATGAATCTCAGACAGGCTATCACATGTTTCCTGAAACCAATGCACTGAGGCAAAGGCCGCAAGGCCCAGAGGATTGGTCTATTCAAGTGGCCATGAGTATGCGGGCAATTGCTGAGACGGCAAGACCTTGCCCTGGTTGTAATGTGGCCACAGAGAGGTCGGGAGGGTGCAAGCATATGACATGTATGTGCATCGCTTATGGAATGAAACAGATTTGATATCAGAATTACTGACGCTTTCTCTGGCAGGTATCTTATGCCAGCAGGAGTGGTGTTGGGACTGTGGTATTCGTTGGTACCGGGGACACCTCGACATTGAATGTATCCAGCCTTTGCGATAAATGCGATGCATTATAGTAACCATAGAATATGTACTCCAGGGAATCATCCACCCAGATCTACCATTTACTGTATTTCTTTATCTGCGATGAACAAATTAACAATTAGCGGCTGACTAGGAAGGTCGATTTACTTGACGGTGGCGGGAGCGACTACAAGCCCTAATGCCGCCTTTCCTGTACATAAACGACTTAGAAGCAGTAGGATACTGCTCTTAAGCCAGATAGATGTCGACAAACCTGTCGGCGGAGTTGAGCCAAGCGTGACGCTCTCATCGAGTGACAGCGCCTGCTTTACCGCCGGCCTTAAGGGCTCTCGTCCAATCAGCAGTGTTGATGGGTTGTTGTAGGTGACGAGAAGCAAAATTCGTGCATTAGCGTATAAACACACTGCAGAGCAGCACATTATTCGGGGACCATCATTGGTCAAGAATCGTGATGGACTTTATGCTAGGAGCTAGGGCAACCATGCCGATTGCTCTTCTTACCTCTATCCACCGTGCTTAATGGTCAGAATCAGCTCGACGATCGGCTGCAACGTTCATGCCATTATCCCCGCATGGCTGATGCAGGACCCAATAACTGATGAACGAGTGCAGTGAACCCGGAAAAAAAATCGGTAGCCGGCAACATGTTGGTAAGGTTTACTAGTCATGATCGATGTTCCTTCCTGATCTCCTCTCCCTCTCTGTCCTCTATCTAGACCATCTCCTCCCACGTCGATCATCTCCAATTTACTACACAGCTTACGGTAACCGTATGCTGCGTTAAACCCCAACCAACAGATGCAGCGTTGAATGCTGTCCGGTGTTTTGTCATATTTGATACGGAGGGGATCCGGAAGGATATAGTACGGCGAATCGGATTTTGACCTCTTACAGCCCTCTGTGTCACGCCAGGTGCTGCTTCAATACTTTCAAACAAGAGCAACTGCCAGCAATATTACAGAAGACAAGGCACCATGTTGCCAGGATGGCATTCAATAGCTTCCCTTGTGAAGCGGATCGATATCCCCATTGTTGCGTCCACCACGCCAGCAGAAATTGCTGAAATGCAACGAGATGCCTGGCCTCAAGCAGGAAAGTATGGGCTTGGCTGGGTTTATTTCTCTGTGATTCTACTCGCAATCTCAACGACTATACGGTTCTATCACCTCTGGGGTGACAAAATCAGGATCGCATTACACAAAGAGGATGCGGCTGGAACATCGCCATATGTCACTTCTCCCCAGGAAGAATATGAGTTGTCAAGTGCTGCCACTGACAGCTCCACTGCGCACTTCTTTCCAGCTCGTGGCCGTCTGCCCAGTACCAATACCATGAAGCAGCAATCGTCAATTTCCACCATTGCGCCATTAAACAATACTATTGCTTTCGTACGATGGATTTTCTATAGACCTATTCCAATGCTACGTATAGGAACACTACGGATCGGTTTTCCATCGCTAGGAGCATCCTCGATTATTTTTGCGGCCCTAATATTTGTGACTCTCTATTCTTTTGTCCCACAGCCGCTCTACTACTCCTCAATCTCTATTGGATCTCCTCCGTTGGCGATCCGTGCAGGCATGATTGCCGTGGCTATGATTCCCTGGATCATTGCGCTCAGCACCCGTGCCAATTTCATCAGCATCTTAACTGGCATTAGCCATGAGAGACTGAATGTTCTTCATCGTTGGGCGGGCTATCTCTGTCTATTTCTAAGCCTGATTCATATGGTTCCGTTTTATGTCACACCTATCTGGGAAAGCAAGAATTTTATGTACTACCAGCAATACTTTCCCCGAAACATCTATATCTACGGCACCGGCTGGGCGGCACTGGCGCCTCTCATAGTCCTATGCCTGCATTCGATGCCGATACTCCGAGCCTGGATGTATGAGCTTTTCAAGCTTGCACACCTTCCCCTTTCAGTCATCTTTCTTGCCATGATATTTTGGCACAGCAAGAACTTCTTGGGATCATGGGACTATCTTTGGGCAACGGTTGCAATCTGGATACTTTCCTACGGTGTCAGGTTGTTTTATGTGAATTGGAGTAACCCCTTACGGTTGTCCTTCTTGATCGGTGAAGAATGTGCAGTGACTATACTCCCACAGAATGCTATCAAAGTCACGGTCGCGACTCAGATGAAATGGAAACCAGGCCAATTTGTCTATCTCCGTATGCCGGGCATCTCACTTTTCGAACGTCACCCCTTTACGATTTCGTCACTGTGTAGTGGCGATTTCCCCTCCGAGTATGGTGAGAATTATCGTGACCTAGCTCTTGTTTTCCGTCCCTTCGGAGGGTTTACTCGTAATGTTTTTAGGAAAACATTTGAGTATGGCCCTTACAAGACCTGGACAGCGTTCTTAGAGGGCCCCTACGGAGGGATGAAAAGAGATATGGCTGCTTTTGATGATGTAGTCTTCTTCGCCGGTGGAAGCGGCATAACTGCAACTGCCAGTCACCTGTTGGACCTGATTAAGAAGATGCGGGACCGAAAAGCAGTAACCAAGTCGGTGCGGGTTATCTGGGCATTCAGGAACCCCGAAACAATCGACTGGTTCAGGGAGGAGCTCAGAATATGCAGGGACTTTGCGCCCCCAAACACAGTTCACTGCCATTTCTTCCTCACTGGACTAGAGCCACACGATCAGGAGCGGCTGGCCCAAAACCAGTTCTACCAGGAGATGCTCAGAGATAAAATGTACAATACATTAGAGGGGATGGACAAGCGAAACTCGGCATACATCCGTGAAGAAGCAGCCGGGGACCCGGAGGTTGAAAAGCAGCTTCGACGCGAGAATGAAGATGCCATTACTGCGCTTCCCCAGGCACGCACCCTCCCACACATCAATACCAGCAGACACTACAACGGCTCAATGGACAACAACTATCAACAGGCACCGTATCCTGCACCTCAAAAAACCTCGGCAGATACTTCGTTTAACTTCGGCTTTCCTCCCTCGTCAACAGCGTTTCCCAAACTGACCACCCGGGTTGGCACCGTCCCGCTGCAAAGGAATGGCTGGCGTATTGATTACACCCGCCCCGATATTCCCCAGGTACTCAAAGACTACTCTCGCACGTTTGGTCGTCGTACCTGCGTCTTTGTTTGTGGGCCTCCTAGTATGAGAGTTGAAGTTTCGAACACTGTTGCTCAGCTTCAGCAGCAGGTCATAACTGACTCGTCTAAAGACGAGATATTCCTACATGCTGAGAACTACAATGTCTGATCACTGGGTTGTACTCGCTCTATATGCTTGAGTTGTTGTGCCATTGTAGAAACCCTCCCTCTATTGCCAATGCCCTAATGATTGTTTGTGGTTTGGGAGCAACTCCCAACCTGTACAGTTCCATACCCTTGAACATAATTGCACATGAATGTCATTGATTATAAAGCATCTTTGAATATACGTGTCCTGTCTCTAATCACGGCTCTATGTCTCTTGATAATCAATTCTAGGAACGATACACATGCAATGTATACAATTCTAAGCAGACAAGCAAATAATGAAAGATCCGTACATCTCTTAGATGCAGCAGTTGAAGGGTATCCTAAATAGGTGAGCAGAGAGAATAACAAACAGACAAGCGAACTCCGTTCAACACCACAAATTCAAAAAGTGGATAGTACGATCACGCTCGCTGAGGCTCATCGTCGGCCTTCCGTTTCCTATTCACACCATCATCAACCTCAAGAATCTTAGAGCCTGTGAATGTTTGTACACCGTGATCTTCATTGTCTTCTCCGTCTTCGGCTTCGACCTTCTCCCAGTCGTCATCCTCGTCCGGACTCTTCCTGTTATCTTCTCCTGACTGGTTAGACGCAGAGTGGACATCAACTTCCGCAGCCTTATCACTGTCATCGTCCTTCCATTGCAGAACGAGCTTGACAATTCTTGCCCCGGATGGCTTCAACCGCCGATAGTAATTTTCGACAACGCCCTCCTCCAACTGGAAGCCGCGCGCGATGTACCATTTCAGACCTTCCTCATTGGCTTCATGCACATGTGCCGTGACGGTGCGCACATTGTAGTGTTTCACTAGTTCCGAGACTTGGTAATTAGACCGCGAGCCAGAAGACGAAGACGAAGGGGCAGAGGAGAAGAGCAATGAGTTAAGAAGCGACGCCGCAATGCCGCAGCCCCGATACGGGGAAAGCAGATGCAGGGTTTGGATGTAGAGATTTGTCGGCTCCTGCGAATGGGGCTTCGACTGGGTTTGGAGAAGTTCTGCGGTGGTGGGAGGGAGCCGCTCTAGGCGACATCTGATTCCTCCGATCACTTTGTCTGTCCCCGTGCTTGTTCCTAGCGGGGACGCGGATGTGGGAGCGTATGATGTGGAGGCTGGCGCCGCGGCTCCCGGGTGATCATGGTAGATGGCCACGCGTGACACCGATGCGATCACGGGGTCTGTGATGGTCGCTGTGTAGAAGGAGTTTGGGTAGCGTATTGGGAGCAGTAAGCCCGTAATCCGGATTAGAGAGGGTATGTGAGCGGTGCTCACGGATTCGATGGTAACATGATGGTGCGGGGTTTTGTAACTGGGTGCGATGGGATGGGGGTATGCGGGGGGATGGAAGGATGAGTCTTTGCCTGTAGGCGGTTTGACCCTGTCTGCGATACTGGTAGAGGTTGCTGGATGAGGGAGAACCAGCGATGGAGGGTGTATAGGAGGTTTGGGGTGTCTGTTGTTGGAGGAAGAGGAGGGTGGAGGGGAGAGTGGCGGAGAGGTCGGCGCTTTCGACTGATGCGCCTTTGCGAAGAACTGGTATGCCATGGTAAATGAAGGAGTGCGCAGATACGCGCTATGCTGTATAATGCTCAGTCTTTTCTGCGCGTTGATCACTTCTGTGAATCATAAAAAACTACCTGGCGTTGCAGTCAAAGAGGGGAATGTCGTACGGTCCGCTTTGCTGGACGAAAACAGCGAAGAGAGAACGCGGAGATGAGATAAGATAAGATGGGCCGGTCGGAGAAGGCAAGTGAAAGGCCAGCGCAGAAGCCTCTTGTCCTCTCCACTACACACCAAGGATCCCTTGGACTAGATTGCGGAGTACTGTCGCATGCTATCAATATTCTGAACCTTCTATATCGTTCCTCTCTTCTTATATATATACCACCTGTCTAATGTAAAGCAGGTAAGTGGGTCCGCCCTGTGAGCTGTGTTGGTCATTCACTGACTCTCCCTACCGTGGAGTGTTACCCGCCCCAGGCTGAGAACCCTATATACTATCGACTGGCAGATGGATCCCATTAGCCGCCTCTTCTCTGTTTTACTCTTCTGATCGCTATAATTCGATTGATTCTGTTGTGACGCTCCTCATACCCTTCGTTCAATCCGGGTCAAGAAGGATTATCTTGCGACCTCGACTTTCTTTTGCCTCTGCGCGATAGCCCTGCCACGAGTTGATATTTATCGTGATACAATACCCCACAGTACATGGAGCTATTTTAATAAGCCCAAGAGATATCGGAACTGCTACGCGACCTTCTTGAACAATTGTTTTGGGCAACGAAACCTAGTTCGCAATTGAGGTGCGTTCCATAAAGCCAGCGATCTACGCCTATTGCCCCAACCTTATCACTGGAAATACTGGTGTCTCATTCAAGCCATCTTATGTTTCCATTGTGGTTCCCCCATGAAAGATTGTTTTAGAAGTTGTGTTGCTTGGCGCTCGGCCCTCTAGACGCCACTATGTTTGCAAGCCCCTGTGCTTCATTCAACCATTTCGCATGTTGATACATCATATCCCCACGCTGTTTATATTGCGGTCCGGTTTCTGACCTCATACCTGCAATATAGGCATCCTGAAAATGGGCGAATCAAACGGAACAGAACAGCAGGAAAGTTCCTTTCCTTCGGGAACTATTGCGAAGCTGGTATGTGTCCTTACATTGGCCTTGTACCGTCTTCTAGCTGGCTACAGTAATGAGCCAGGCATATCCAAGGCCAAGGCACTGACAGAACCACCCAGACATGTGATATTCTCAACAACACGTTCTATAACATTATCCATGACATAGTGTCAAAAGTTCACCGAGATGAAAAGATCGCTCGAATGCGTTCTGCTGTCACAATTGCTAGACAGAAAGCCGAAGAAGAAGCAGGCAGGCGCCGAGAAGAAGCAGGTGCCAAGCCCACTGCGTTAAAACCGGGCGAAGATTTCGAAGAACTCAAGGACATCCGCGTTGAGACTGATGGTGCCATTTTTGAAGATGGGAAGGTTTATCTCAAGGGAAACCCACTTAATACCACCAAGGAAATAATCTGTCCCGACTGCCGACTACCACGTCTACTTTATCCTGTGACTGGGCTCGGAGCCGCCCCCCTCCGGATCCATATCGAGAATATTGTCAAAAGCAACCAATGATCAGCAAACAAGGGCATGATGTTCATGGGAATCCGTTCGCTACGGATAAACTGAATCCCAAGAAGAAGAAACAGACGAACACGTCAAATACGCCAGCATCAAGCCCGCCTACAACGCCGGATAGCTCCTTTAAGCAAGCGGCTCCAGAGAAAGTATCATTCCCGACGGTTAAGTGCCCTAATTGCCCACGGTACTTTGTTGTGACGCGAGTGGCACAACACTTGGACCGATGTCTCGGTCTATCTGGCCGACAGGTTAATCGAAACAAAACGCCCATGGAAAATGGTACCAGCACCCCTACTTCTGCGCCGCCCAAACGTCCATTACCATTAGATGACGACACTCCGCCAACTATAACGAAGAAAAAGAAACTCGGTGCTCCTAAAAAGCTTTCAGGGAAAAAGCCGCCACCGGCTCCCAGTAGCAAACTCAAGAATGGTGTGACGCCTGACATGGCGGCAGCTGCGGACGCTGCAGCCGCTGGTGATGGCGATATAAAAAGCGAACCGAATGGCGACAACGCATAGTTTCTTTTCCTTCGCTCCTTAATTATAGCTTCTGCAGTACTTCTGTGTTGCTTCTCGTGGGCATACAGATGTGTCTGCATCGGAGACGAGGCTTTGGACATAGTCTCCTTTTAACGATCTGACGTAAATACTCGGCATCAAAGGCGTCAACAGGACTTACTCTTATTAGTCGAAAAGTCTGGGACCTCTCGACATTATATTACTTCTATTCAGTTCTTTCATTTGTTATGGTTTTGCTGAATCAGCACCGTTCGTTTGCTTTTGTCCTCGTTTGTTTCAGAGATAGATGATCATGCCGGTGTATATGTACAATAGGTGAAGGTTGATAGCCAGTACGAGGGTTTTGCATTACCTCAATGGATATAGCTATCTTCATGGGGTTTATTTTTCTATCTTCCTAGTAACATCCATGATAGAGACTACTAAAAAATATCGCGTCCTAGATGAATCCAAATACTTGAACTGGTCCCGAGTATATATTCTGCCTGATATTCCAGGCAACTATCCATATCAAACATGACTCCATAGCTCCTCCACTCCCCGCCGGCTACATCGAAGTCCCCATAGAGGGCTGTATCCACCATCCTCCCTCCTCCCACATATAGTGCTCTACAAATCCGTCATTCATCTAATTCCTCTTCCCAACCATGGCCGACCCCAGCCTCATATCCTGGGGCGTTTCCCGCATATCGCAAATCCTCCCACTAGACGAAGAATCACTCACGCAGATCATCACTTACGCCGCCAGTCTACCGAAAGAAGAGGGTGCCGATCATCTCAAAAACCTCTTGGGTGACTCCCCCGCAGCCTTTGAATTCATATCCGCTTTCAGTTCGCGACGAGACCCCGCGCCTCAACGACCAGCAGCCTCCACTGCACCCTCAGCCACACCGATAGCAACAAGCCCCAGGAATCCAGGAGCGGGGCAAAAGAAGGGCAAGAAATCGAAACCACCGCTACACAGCGCCGGCCCCCCGCGTCGGCCCGATAACTTCGGAAATGTCACAGGCGGATACAAGAAGGCAGATCTAGAGGAGGATTACATGGCGCCGGCGCCTAGAGCCAAACAAGATACCGGTGCTTCACGGTCGCCGTATCTACCAGTCGAAGACTCATCTGCTGCTTCGTCGCGCGCTCACTCACCTGTCCCGAAACAAAGCTCGAGCAAACCGCCGCCCTCTGCATCGGGACCTATGCTCTCGGACTTGTTGCCAAATGTTAAGTCCAAGGCCGCGAAGTCCTCCTCTACACGACAGAGTAACAACACCACTACCAGCCAGTCTAAAAACTCCCTAACAACGACCAACATCTCCGATCTAACCGCCGCAATCGCCGCACTAGAAGTATCCACAAACCCATCCCTGAGCAACGAATCCCGGAAATGCTCCTGCTTCGCTGCGATCCACCCCCTTTTCGCCCCCGCCCCAAACTGTCTCAACTGCGGTAAGATCATCTGCTCCCTGGAGGGCCTTCAGCCGTGTTCGTTCTGCGGTACACCCCTCTTATCGAATGAGGAAGTGCAGAGCATGATCCGAGAACTGCGGGCAGAGCGAGGCCAGGAGAAGATGCGCGCGCATAACGAGAGCGTGCACCGCGAGGGTGGACCGGGGCAGGGCCCCTCACCTTCGGCTGCTTCCAGCAAATTGAACGCTGCCATGGCTCACCGGGACAAATTGCTTCAATTCCAGGCGCAGAACGCCAAACGGACGCGCGTTGTCGACGAGGCGGCGGACTTCGAGACTCCTAATGTCGCGTCGACGCTGTGGATGAGTCCTGCGCAGCGGGCTCTCGCCTTGAAGAAGCAGCAGCAGATATTGCGCGAGATGGAAGAAAAAGCGCGTCCGGAATGGGAGAAGAAGAGGACCATCATGAGTCTAGATATCAAGGGCGGGAGAGTCACTCGTGTGTACCAGTCTGCTGGAGCTAGCCCTGCTGATTCGGGATCCCCAGCGGAAGAAGCGCCCGAGCCCGAGCCTGAGGCTATTGAGCCGGCAGATGAATCTACGAAGTCACGACGCGGTGAAGCCTTCAGTCGGAATCCTCTCCTCGCGGCCAGTGGATTGATGCGACCTGTCTGGAAGGGTCCCGACGGTAAACCGGTCGAAGCTAGACCGCAAAAAGAACGGCAACAGACATGGCGACGAGTCCAGGATGATAAAGATGACAATGAGCAATGGATCCTCGACGGCGGCTTACATGGCTACTCTTAGGTTGGGACATGGGTTTTGATGGTTGCTCAAGGGTACACAAACACAGTCAGCTTACAGCTATCTATGCATCCCCATCCGGGAGCCATCTGGATCGTCAGGAAATACATGCCACGAAATAATCGCGGGACTTCACAGCTTACCTACCCCGATGAATGGGGAATTCAGGTTCACAGCTGAAACAGTACCCACTATCGACCATCTATCGGTGTGAAGACAAGCAGTCAGTAGCATGTGGGACTACAAGGTACTCGGATAGAAGCGGTCCTCGAAAAGATCATTCCTCCGGTTTCAGGTCCGACACCAGGCTATCAACTAGATACCAGATACAGCATCCTAGGTAACATCCAGATAAGCCCAAATAATAATAGAAAAAAATCACATTTCCATACATATAAGCTACGCTCATACCCAACCAACTATTTGTATATCAAACCAACAACACGTAGAGAACAATTTGCCGACAACCAACTCTATCAATCTACGATAACCTTCCAGCCACATCTCCCTCAACTAAAAATAACCCAATGAAGACCACGGTAAAGAAGCCCGAAACCCAGACATTCTTACAAAAGCTGACATACGTATGACACCCTCATTCATTCCTTCCCAAAACAAAAGGTCCGTTTCTAACCGAGCCCAGAGTGAGGTATATATACGAGGGAAGCAGAATGGAAATGGTATCCTAAACTAGCCTCAAAGGAAAGAGACCAATTTATTTTGCTCTACCAGTGAACCTGGTCCTATTACCAAGCTCCAATATTGCTCCTTGTTGCCCAGGAACGTTTGCGGGGGGAACCGGCGTTCGGCTGGACTCGGCTTGTATCGGCTACCGTTCCGGATACGGAAGGTCTACATTAGTTTCTAGGTTGCAATATGCTTGTCCAGGAGGTTTGGAAGACGTTATCGATTGAGGGGGTTGTGGTGGGGGTGTCTGCTTTGCTGGGTGTGTTGGTGCGTTCCATACCCTGCCTCTCTTTCTCTTCTTTTCTCTCTCTTCTTGTTTATTGGTGGTAGTGGTGGTGGTGTATTGTACATGTACGTCATCAGAGTGCTTACTGTCGCGGCCGCATAGTCTTTTGCATATGTCATCTACAACCGCTTTTTGCATCCTCTTCGGAGATTTAACGGTCCCGTGCTTGCGTCGATAACCCCCTGGGTGCAGTTGTATCATGGCCTGAAGGGGGACCGGCATCTATGGCTTCACAATCTGCATCAGCAGTATGGGTCGCATGTCCGTGTTGCGCCGAATTTTGTCTCCATCAACTCCGCGCAGGGCCTGCATGATATCTATGGCCATGGGAAGAGACTGAAGAAGGCCAATTTCTACAATGGCTTCACTGCCATCAAGGGCGTGTATAACACGCACAATGCGATTGACAAGACGGTCCATGGTCGGAAGAGGCGGGTGCTGAGCCAGGCTTTCTCCGATCAGGCTCTCAAGAGTATGGAGGATGTCATGCTGCTGCATGTTCGACAGCTTTGCACGGCTTTGGCAGAGCAGCAGACGGACAGTAACAAGGCTGAGGCACAGAAGACCACCGTCCAGAATATGGGCAATTGGTTCAGTTACCTCACGTACGATGTCATGGGTGAACTTTGTTTCGGGAAGAGTTTCGATATGTTGATTTCCAGCGGCCGCAGGAAGATGATCCAGCTTGTCGATCGCGCGGCTAACCGTCACTATGTGGTGAGTTACAGCGAGTCCAGAATTTCCCTGAGAATAGAGCCCTGTTTTTCTGACGAATATCAACCCAGTGCGGTCTCTGGATGCCCCTTGATACCTGGCACTTGGACCAAATCGTCATTCACAGACTGACCAACGACCGATGGAACTTCATCATGAACTCGCGCGTAGAGGCCAACAAGCGGGCCCAGGAGCGTACACAGGCAGGCCACGACTCCAAGAAAGACTTCTTCTACTACCTGCTCAACGCCAAAGACCCCGAGACCGGCAAGGGTCTCACGACGCCCGAGCTCTGGGGCGAAGCCAACGTGCTCATGATCGCAGGCAGCGACACTACCTCCACCACGCTCGCGGCAACCATCTTCTACCTGGTCCGCAACCCGCGCGCCATGGAGTTCCTGAAAAAGGAAGTCCGTGAGGCCTTCACCTCAGTCGAGGAGATCGTCACCGGCGGCAAATTGAATGAGCTCGTCTACCTCAAAGCCTGCATTGATGAAGCGCTGCGCTTGGCACCTGCCGTTCCGGGGGCCATTCCGCGCGAGGTGATGGAGGGCGGCGCCGTCGTGGACGGGGCCTTTTTACCCGCCGGCACGGACTGTGGGACCCCGACTTACTCCATCCACCGCCAGCCCCAGTACTACCGCGAACCTGAGGCGTATTTGCCCGAGAGATGGATTGAGGGCGCGACGTGCGTAACCGCCGATGATAAGTGGGAGAGCAGCAAGGATGCTGTTGAGACTGCGCGGAGAGCATTCTGCCCGTTCAGTATTGGACCCCGCGGATGCATTGGCAAGGGCATGGCATTCATGGAAATGCGACTGACCATCGCGCGGTTGATGTTCCTGTTCGACATGGAGTTGGCCGATCGACAGGGAGAGGACGAGAAAGGCCATCTGGCTCTGGTGGATCATTTCACCAGCGCCAAGCAGGGGCCGAATGTGACCGTCCGCCGGAGGGATCTAACCGTCTAGGCGAATTGATGTGGCCCTTTTAACGAAGTTCGATTCATGTATAGCGCATTTGCAAATTCATTCGATTAATAACACAAACCCCCCAGATCCAAAAACCACCTATTAGCAAAGACCAAGTAAATCAGTCCCTAGTTCCAATTAAACCAAAGAGAGAGCAAAACATCCCCCAAACGCCAAGCACACCCGGACAAATAGGTTCACAACTCATTTCCCAACTGCAGCGAACAGGACACGTGCCCAACACGTGCAGCAAATCCAAAAGGGTAAATAAATCAAACAACTTGAGTAAATGAAGAAAACCCTTGAAACAAAAGACAGAGCAGGAAAAGAACAAACTATCAATATCGCCTAATAATACCCTATACATATATATCTCACCTACACCTTCTTCCAAACCAAACCCACCCACCCCGGAAATCCATGATGCTCACGACCTCCTGAACATCAGGAAACAATACAATGCCCCCATCCCCCTTGACAGTGACCCTAATCCAATCCACGATCCTCAACGCCATCGCCAATGTCCTGGCCCAATTAATAGACCAGTACAAAGAAAACGTACGTAGATCTTTACCTTTACTATTATTTCACATTCCCAGCCCAGAAGAGAAAGTGATTCGTGTAGAGGTGGCGTCTTGGTCTCAAAACACACCTATACAACCAAATACCCCCCCCCCTATTACCTACTACTACCTACCGCCATGATACGTATACAATGATTTGAAAAGTCCGCACTTGCTGACAGAAAGCACAAAAAAAAAGAGACCTTTCGCGTTGAACACCATCGCACTTATCCAATTCATCACGTACGGCGCCATTATCGTGCCGCCCAATTTCTCCTGGCAGAGATACATCGAGGCTCGGTTCCCGGGGTTCCCCAGCTGGAAGAGAAATAATGGCAACAATGCCCCTGACCCCGATGATCTCCTGCCAACGAAGGAGAAGCCATTCAAGCCGAAACAGCAAAGATCTGGGATCTGGAACTTTGCTGTCAAGTTCCTCTTGGATCAAACTATCGCCGGGGTGTGTAACATTCTCTTGTTCATTGTGTTGATCAACTTGTTGAAGGGGATGAATTGGATGAGGGTTTGGGAGTTGGTTTGTGAGGTATGGATTCTCTTTCTTTTCTTCATGTTTATATCTCTTCGTTTTCCTCCTCTGTTTTGGGGGGGGGGGGGGGGGCCATATCGATGCGATGCTGATAAGGGTAGGATTTTGGCCCCATCATGCTGGCTCGTCTGAAGTTTCGGCCTATCGTGTCGGCGCTTATGTATACTGTTATTCCTGTGGACCGACGAGTGGTGTTCGGGAGCGCCTGTGGAGTTATCTGGGGGATCTATTTAAGCCTTTATGCGGTTGTTTGAAATGTCCGGTACTGCTTTTAGATTTTGCGTTGTTAGCACTAGGGTAAACTATAGAGTCTATTAATTGTTCTATGCAAGGAAAAATCCGTATATACATACATAGCCTAACAAAGCAAGAAAAGTCCACTCCGCTGAATACCAGGCGTGGAACTTTGCCAATATCCTTAATAAAGAGGCAGTAAGCCATATTAAATAGATCTTGTAGACTGTATTATGGTAAGCATGAAGCGAAACGTAGCCCTACCCCTCGAGCAATCCCTAGAAGCAGTGCCTCCTAAGCAGCCATCGCCTCAATTTTCTTGCCTTTCACGGACAGCCACTGTATAGGAAGTGCCGCAAAGAGGGCAATTGTCCCTATAGCCACTGCAGCATAGAATGTCTCGGTGATAGCGTTGTTGTAGGCCTCGAGAACTGTAGGTAAGATGTCCTTCGACACAGCCTGCCGCAGCATCGTAGCCCCTGCGCCAACCACCTTAGCCACATCAACCCCAGGGGCTCTAGCAAGAATGTTCTTGCGCAGTTGGTTTTGAAAAACATTCTGAGCGATAGAGACAAAAAGCGCCCCCCCTAGTGTCTGGGAGAACATGACAAAGGCCGTTGCAGTGGGAACATCGGCAATCGGGAGAGCCGCCTGAACAACAATCATAGGTTGCTGCAACCCTAGGCCCACGCCAATTCCGTATAAAACCTGGTACCCAATCCATGCAGCGTCACTTGAATCTACTTTCAACGTGCCGAGAAGCCCGCCGCCAATTGAGATGAGAATCGGTGTGGCGATCATGAACGGTGTATAGTATCCAACCATAGTGACACAAGCACCAGCAGCAATGGAGGCGACAATCATAGGAAGGAGCAACGGAAGGTTCATGATGCCCGACCTGGTTGCTGTGACACCCTTTATCGCTTGGAACCAAATGGGAAGCTATTAAAGGCGCAAATTAGCATATGTCTCTGTGACTGTAGAAGGTACAAGCTTACATAGTAGATAAAAATGAAAAATGATCCACCAATACAGAAGCTGTAAAGCGCTGCGCCCCATACATTCCGATTCTTGACCAGCCGGGGAGGTACCGTAGCCTTGTCTTGCTGCCACAACTGTACGCCGCAAAAGGCAATGAGAAGGACCCCGAAAACAACGAAAAGGGCTATGATCCGAGCACTGTTCCAAGCATACATAGTGCCTCCCCATTGTAGCGCGAGTAATACACAGATAATTGATGGCATGAAGAGGGCAGTTCCAGGGAAATCCAGTTGCCCCATTTGGTTTTTGAAACCGGACTTGTCCTTGACAGACTTGGGCGCCTTGAATAAGAAAAGGATGAAGAAAGCGGTCACTCCGCCGAAAGGTAAGTTGATGTAAAAACACCATCTCCAACTGAGACGGTCCGTAAACGCACCGCCCATCAAGGGTCCGGCCACGCTCGCAATTCCATACATTGATCCCATCATCGCAGCGAAGATTGGTCGTCGATTCAGTGGCACCGTCTGAGCAATGATAATGAGTGCCCCCGAAAAGAGTCCAGCTGCCCCCAGACCGGCTATGGCTCGGCCAATGATCAGTGATAACGAGTTCGGCGCGATCCCACAGATCAGAGATCCCAGTTCGAAGACAAAAAGGGCAATCAAGTAGACCCATTTTGTGGAGTAGAACGTATATAGCTTGCCGAACGTCAAGCACAATGAACATGTTGTCAGGAGGTATGCGCTGCCATACCAGCCCACATCTTCAAGGGACTTGAACTGATCTGTGATCTTTGGAATTGCCGTGGAAATGATGGTATTGTCCTAAACAAGCCGAGGTCATTAGCAATAACCGTCTTCCAAAGGTCATTTTTAATAGTTATGGTCGGTTGAAGTATTGAATGGACTTACCAAAGCTAGACAAAAGATGGCAAGAGCTAATGCGATGGCGATCAGGCCAAGTTTCCAAGAGCTTGGATACTCTTCCTCCTCTTCTTTCTGTGCTTCATCGCTTGGATTAGTGTTCGCCACAGGTATGTTGTTTTCATTCTTTACTTCTGGGGCTAGCGCAGGGGACTCTCCCTGTGAGCTGGCCAGCGTACTCCCTTTCTCCATGGATGGTCTTCCCTCCCTTGACGCCTTGTCGGATATCAAACTGGTCTGTAGCGGCGAGCCAAGAGTGTCTTGCAGTTTATTGTCCTGCATTGTATCTATCGGCTTAGAGAATCTAGATGAGATAGGAATAAGAGGCTATGGAAGACACGAAAAGCAAGTGCCGTACATGGAAGGAGCGGTTAAATGCCGTCAATCGAACGAAGGAAAAGTATAGAAAAGTTGTAAGAGGCAAGAAGGGGTCTTCTTTCTTACTGATGAGGATTAACTTTGCCTGCTAGGTTGCCTTGGCGATATAAGACTGATCACTGATTCATTGCTGGCACGGTGACGATGCCAGAACCACCCAATCGGTGAAGTGACAATGAACCTCCGCAGCAGCAGACTGGATTTCCATCTTGGGTCGTTCTGTACTACATCAAAGGAGCCTGCCAGCATGGACGGGATCTTTCCCTCCCGAAGCCCCGAAGGCCCAGGGCATACAATCGTGATCTAGAGAATATGCTAGAATGTCAGCTGTCCGCTCAGCTGTCCTTGCTCTATCCTGAAATAGTCATGAGGTGTCTCTCAAGCTGGCATCCGATCCATATTCGCTTCCTATATTGCCACGGAACCCTGGTATAATGAACTATGGAGTCCTAAAAACAACAAAGAAAGTGGCACGGTCTAGACTACAGACGGACCAGCCTTGGTCCCTGCCGCTGGGCATTTTAAATAAGATGAATGATCCGCAAGTCTTTGTAAAGTGGACTGGCTGTCTTTGCAGTAGGTGAATACCTGGAGTCTCCTAGTATGGTACTTGTCGCTTAGGATTTTCTGCATCTGGGCTGCAGTTCGGCCTAGTCTGACCAATAAAAGGAAGGGAAAAGATTCCTTGGCCATTCACAAGAGAACCATCTACCATAGTGGGAGCGAATCTACTACTAGTATCAACCTTATGGGCTCATGGATGAAACTCTAATGTCAGGTACCGTGACGAGCGGGTACTTTGATGGAGCCCTGGGTTTATATCATTAGTCTATTGGTAGAGAATGGATGGTCTGTATTGATCGGCTAATTAAAGTAACCCCCGGGGTTCGGTCAAGGCTCTGATACATCAATACTGCTCTTACACTAATAAGAATGCTGTTGAAATGTGTTTCAAGAGTAGGATTTTTTTTAATTGCAACATATCATCCGTTCCATGAGAATGCTAATTAACGCCATGAAAGAAAAAGAAAAAAAAAAAGAATATTGTTACACCCTCCTTCCCAGCCACTCTCACTAACTCCAGGTCCTTTCACAGTAAGCCGTCCCTGCAAATTCGAGCACATGGCCTTCGCCGCGTGAAAAGCAGCTAGGGAAGGTGAAGATAAAGTAGTCTTCACCGACAGTCCGAGGTCATCCATTCAAAATGAACCATAAAAAAGGGGGAATAAAGTTGAGATCGTCGCAAAGTGTTAAGTCATAGACCGCTACTGGGCCTTCCTCCTGGCTTCTTCCTTGCTAGCCACCAGGGCAATCAAAGCCGCACCAACACCACTACCATCCTTCGAGATACCAATGCGCACCTTCTTATCGCCGGCAATGCCTACCTCGGGCACCTCACGCAAGGCGTCACGCATGTATCCCTCAAAGTTAGGGTAGAATTCGACCAAGCTTCCGTCGACACCAACGTCCACCAGATCATTGGTCTCGAGTTTCTTGGTGGCGATTAGGATGGCAGCAAGAGGCACGGCGCTCAGACGAGCAGCGCGCTTACCAATAGCATGCACGATTGCCTTGACAGCCTTGCAGTCCGTGGTGCTGGCCCGTTCGATCTTCAAGTGGTCCTTCAATGCCGTCTTGGTAGGCTCCATGCTCTCGCTGTTGTCAGCTTCAACCAAGCTCAGGAGGCTGGTGTCAAGGCCCCATTGACGGAAGAGCGTAGAGTTTTCTGGAACAATAACATCCGACGAGGCGCTGGGCTTGAATAGACCCAGAGATTCATTGCGGTGCAGATCAATCAGGACACGGCGCAGAATCTCACCGAGGAACATTCCAGAAACTCGCTTCTCGAACATCTGGATGCCAGGGTTGTTGCTCTCCTCATCCAGCTGCTGGTCGTAGACGGTGTTGGGCAAAACACTCAGGTGGTTATCAAAGCTACCCCATTCAGCATTGATGATCATTTCACCCGTTGTCTTATCGTAGTCGGAATGTTCGATAGTAGCCATCTTAGAGATCTTGTCGAGCTTCTCAACGTAGGCGCCGTTGGTACCCGTGCCGAAGATGGCACCAAGGAAGGTTCCAGTCTCACCAGGGGAGGTGTATGAACGGGCCATCAAGGTTCCAACTGTGTCATTGACAAGAGCGGCCACGCGCACGGGGAGCTCCAGAGCATCGAGCGCACTTTGCAATAGCGCGCAGACATCATGGCCGACGGCGTCGGGAATGTTGAAGCCCTTCGTCCAGCGAATGAGGGTTCCCTTGTTGATGCCGACCTGGCGCACGGGGAAACTAAAAGTGAAGCCCAAATCAAACAATTCCTCTTCACCCTTTCCTTCACGTCGACGTTGGAGATGGGCTTCAAAATGTTCGTTGTGGTGGATGCGCAGGAAAGCTTCGATCTGGCGAGCCAAAAAGGTGAAGAGATCCTTGGAGGTGCCGGAAGCCATCAATTCACGAGGGATCATGATTTTAGACTGTGTAAGAGAAAAGGTATTGTCGCCGTGTAGATCTACTGAGCACACGCGAAAGTTGGTACCGCCAAGATCTACGGCTAGGTACAGTCCCTGTCACAACAAAGTCAGACATGCAATTGTGATGTAATAAACAGGTTCGAAAAATATACCTTCTCTGTGCCATTTGGCACGGAGGTAACGAACGTCGGGATTTGGCTCAGAGTTGTGCCCTCCTGGCTCAGTCCTTCATTCATCTCCCGGATGTACTCTTTCACCCCGCGTTGGACCCCCTCGGCGGGGAAGTCGAACTGGCGGGCAATCCGCGCAGCCTCGTCCAACAAGGCGGATGACATTGTGGGAAGCGGGAGGAAACGGAAGTAGGATAGTGGGGGGGGATTAGAGTGTTTAAAAAAAGAATGTTGATAGAAGGATAAGTAGAAGGATAGCAGGAAGTGAGGTATAGGAGGGAACAACACGAGGAGGTGTGGAGGGGTAGAAAATATGGCGGGGGGGAACAGAAGGGGAAAAAAAATATTTCCTGGAATTATATAGGTTGCATGGTATCCAAGCGATAATATTGAGGGCGCATACGTAGGGAAGTGACGAAGAGGGGTCGATGAGGTCAGTCAGTGGGCCAGATTTGGATCTAAAGATGTTGAACCAATGGGGTTTCCGGGTTCGCCGGCGCTTCTCTTCGCTGAGACCCTAGAATTATTGCATATTTTCCCGAATGTTTCGGGCCCCAATAGATCTGTCTTAGCATTGCATGGCGTGGATGCAAATGGAAGCCTTGGTGGTAGCGAACCCATTCCATGACGCTATGAAACTGTGTGGGGGGTTTTACCGGTGAGAAACAATGGTTAGGACGGCGTGTAGACACGGGGAAGACACGGAAGGAAAGGAATGATCTTTATTGGTGGTGCAATAGACGAGGAGAACACTACCGCCGAAGTATAGTATAGTACAAGAATGGCCTTATCACCTCCGATGTGAGCGTGCTCCGTATGGAGTAGTCTGGGGTGACATTTAGAGGCTGACCTGCATGATGGTTAGGTGACAGAAGGTGGGGAAGAGCCTGACAAAGTTACGCCGATTCCTTATTCCATGAGTGTCGAGTAACTCCTCCCTTCTCAGTAATTGTGCCTCTCTGAAGGGTACACAACTGAGAAATCATATACTCTTTGTTTGACACTTTGTATACACGGGGGATCAAATCATCTGCCCTATGTTCACTTATCAGAAATACGTATTTCAGCCACTGGTGCCAACCTTGATCACGCTACCCTTTATAGCCTGATCCTAGAACACACTAGTCCTTGATTTGGATTCTCTGGGGCTTTAAGTTACCAACTACTAAGTACCACTACCGATATCTCCTTTGGCTACTCCGTACGAGAACAGCCAACACGACAACAATGGTTACAAATCTCGATCACAGTACAGGGTTACATTACGACTCGAACAGGCCAATAGAGACGCGTTGAACAGCAGCCACCATGTAATTATATCAGGTCTAGATCAATACTAAAACGCAAAGGAACTAGAAATAGGGCCAGCGGAGGAAAAGAACAAGAGAAAGACAAAAGAGCATACATCACTTGACTCCATACTACTTCCGTGCGCGAACAACAAATGACTAAGCGTCACGTGATTTACACCGGCGGAAGTCGGCTGCTGCGTTGAAACGGCGATATGCGAACTCCTCTGACGACCTTGGAATTGCCCAGGCCCTGCTGTCTCCGCTGTCTTCACGGTGTTAAAATCGGAGCTTTACTCAGGCACCGAAAAGGACTAAATCTGTCTTCCTTTCTAAAGATCCAAGGGAAGGGATCAATTTCCATTAATTAAACACATAATGGGCGCCGGTAGCTCCAAGCCTGACGCTTCGGCGGGCTCGAAACATGTTTTTTCGAGGTATGTTTACGTCTGTACTGTCGGTCAATTGCTTTTGGGGTGGACATTTCGCCAGTCCCGGGTATGAAGTAAGGAAGAGACGGGCATTATTCGTACATGAAATGAGGCAGGACACCTCACGCCGGATAATGGGTAGATTTGAAGAGGGCGAGGGACAGACACATTTGCCCCCGATACAATGCGGCCTTCAATCGAGTAAGCTAACACTGTTGGTTTTTATAGCGGTGGCCCCGTCCAGTTCTCATCTAACCTTGTCGACAACCTCCAATCCAACACCGAGGTACGTATATATCCGCCAAACACTTTCAGAAGAATTACCGAAAAACAACCAATTGGCAGCCAAAACTAACCAGAATAGACGGACTCCTCCCGCGCAAAGAGCATCGAACTCCAGATTCAGGCCCGCGTAGCTCAAGAGCTCGAACGTCTCCGTCAACGCGAGCAGCAGACCCTTGCTGAGATCGAGAAGCGCGTTGCGGAATCCAAAGACAGCGCTCCCTCGTCGTTCTCTTCCACACCAAACGTCAGCTACCCCGCTGGCTCGCTGGACCTGGATGCTCCCCGGATCCCCTTCGCAGGCCGCGAATACACTCCTGCCCCTGTCCCCGATGCGCAGCCCATCAACCGTGATGTGTCCCGTGACTCGGTGAACACCGAAATCGAGGAACTGCGTGCTAAGCTTGAGGGCCGGAGAAAGTTGGTTGAGATCGATGAGAGCGTTGAGAAGGCCAAGTCAAATGTCGTGAGCTGCTTGCGCTTAAACGACCGCCGGCCTTTGGACTGCTGGCAGGAGGTTAATGCGTTCAAGAAGGAGGTTGCCAAGCTTGAGGAAGCGTTTGTGGACCGGGTTGTTGGTTAGATGATGAAGTGAAAAACTATGTGTGTTACTTGACAATAGATTCCTCAGATCTCTCGTGTTATGTTGTGTATATGTTCCTGTATGTACCGGAATTAGGCTCAGGCTGTGACTATTACTTGCGTGGAATTTTTGGCCGCTTTATCGAGGATACTCGTGGTTTTAGTGGATATTTTAAGATGGTTTTGTCATTTCATGGAACTGTGCATCCCGTGTCTATTTGAAACATTTGAAACCGCCAACTAAGTGTCTATCAATATATATTGGCAGTCTCTCATTTCGTTAACGCCCTGTAGGAGCAATATGGACATAACACGTAGTTAATTCTACGTCTGAGATGAAGTCCGAACAAGGAAGAGAATTCTGGGCATCGTATAATCGTGAGCTAGCTTTCAATACCTACACAGTACATGCGTTCAAGCAACCTCCCAATAACCCAGCCTTCCTACCCTCTCGCCCGCTCCCCGAATGATGCACATGGTTCTTTCTCGAGCCTTGCACTTTCCGAGAGCAGCTGGAGTGACCTTCGACATCTGTATCGAACCAACTCCTGTGCTCTTACCAGCAGAGAGATTGAAATTCCCTGTTGTTATAAAACCGATGAGATCTTCTTCCGGCGGAAGGGGCAAATGCTCCTGGTGAATATCTGTATCGATTTGGGCTGATAGAAGAGCTGCAGCGAGGCGCGCTTGGGGGTCTGAACTAGTGCTGGAAGGTTCTCGGGCAGGTGACTTAACACCAGCCGGTTTAGCTGATGCAAAAGAAAGCCATTTCTGACGAAGTTCTTGGTTGGTGGTAGGTAGACGGTAGACTCGAGCTCGCGGAGTAGGGGTGCCTCGATTGAATAAGGAAATCCTTACAGTCACAAGAGCCGAGTTGTCAACACTCGAATTCTGGTCTCTGAGTGCACGGTCGGCTTCGGCGGGCTGTAGGTGGTGTATACCGAGCGGAAGACCATCTGCAGAGGTTTTTTCGTTCTCGCCATCGTGTCGTGTAACATTTTCGCCCTCAGTCTTCAGTTTCTTATGCTTTTCACTGTGATCGCTGGTGCCAAGAGCTCCAACACCCTGGATCAGTCTCTCCCAATCACATGCCCAACCCCGGCCAATCTCGCCTTTCTGGTCAGTTCCCAAGTCAATACTGTCGAATTCAACTCTCCGCCCCTTAGGCCGTCGTTCCCATTCCTTCTTTGACTGTTCTTGGTCACGCGAGCCCCATTCCCACCCAGCGCGTGTGCCAGGGAAATCACCAGGGAACCAAGGTTCTCCTGCTTCAAAAGCGAGCTGTTGCTGCTCTTTTAATCCACCAAGTCTCGGGTTTCCACCACTTGAGAGGGTATAATACATCAACGCATACCACACCGGAAGAACGCACTTCCAAGGGAGAAGTACAGTCCAGCTACCTGGAGCATTGTTACCCTTCGTTTGAGCTCTGGGTCGAGTTGCAAGGAGCATCACCGGGATCTGCGGGTCAGTATCTCGAGGAGTCGGAAGGCGACCAGGTCCAGCTTCAGTTCGTCGCCGATTGATGGCTTTTTGGCTGGGCAGTTGGCGGATGGCAGCCAAGCGTGCGCGACGGTCGAAAATAGAAGGTGTTGTTTGCGTACGATCAGGTGCCCAGGATGACAAAGTCATGGCCAGGTCTTGCATGTCCTTCTCAGAGGAAGGGGGTCTCATTGTCTTATGCGGGAAACGGAGACGAGGATCAGATATGGAAAATGCAAGAAGGGCGTTTTGTGGGAGAGATGAAGGATTCGAGACGCCCAGTAAAGAGTTCCACGTAAATTCGGGGGTGTTCGATGGTTTATCGCTCTCATCCAACTCGACCGGCCTCAGCACCGCTAACAGAGCTTCAGTGGAGCCCGGACCTGTGATATCAATGCTGCCAATTTCGAAACGAAGATCTTCAACCATCACGGGAGGGTTCTGTCTCTTCGAAACCTCGAGGAGCTCATTCCACAATTGTAAGAACGCAGACGGGTGTACTCTGATAAAAATTTTCTTCTTGTCTTTTATGGAGTTTTTGTTCTCCGCAGATTTGGCACTATCCGCATCCAACATTTCAACGTCCCCCGGCTTTTCCTCAGCACATCGAATCAAAGTGACTGGCGCAATAGGTCTCCGTGGCCCATCGCGCCCATAAGTCCACACTTGCAAAGTTCTTGTTCCGGCTTTCCATTTTTTGCCCTTTGGGCCCCATACTTCATTCCCGTCAACGCCGACAGCTCTCAGAGTACATTCTAGTGCGCCTTCCGTTCCCTCCAGCTGAATGGTGGACATATAGCTCATATCCCAAACCACAGCGCCCCTAGCGCCCCTCGCCCGATGAGACGGTCGGTAACTCTTCTCGGTCGGGGACAAAGGAATGGCGAATCGCCACAGAGGATTCTCAGACGTAGTCATGTGGGCTCGCTTTGCATGAAACATGTGCGTAGGGAGCCATGTCTTGCATCTTTGCCGCTTTTTGAATTTGGACTCTGGCGGATGTGGGCGTGAGAGCTTATTTTTCTTGATTTTAGGGACACGCGGGGCAATATCAAAGAAGTGACTACCCGCCTCTTCCAGTGACTTCTGGTTCTCTTTATCACGCCTAGCTTTCGAATGAGCTCTCTTAGCTTTGGTCTTGGAATTGAGGTTTTGGAGACGTCTAGCGGTTTCGAGACGGACGCGCATGGCCTCTGTTGGTTTCCTCCGACGTGCGGTCACAGTTGGTGTGTTATCTTCCATCATCTATTCAAGTCGCAGGTTGTTTAGCAAGATTTTCCACATGGCTTAGTCTGAGCGCTCACTGGGACAATCCAGTTCGTAAAACAATCAGATGTATTTCTAGCGTACCTCTCTCTTCGCCCTTGCCCTCAACCTACTTGGCACCCTCTTCACATTGTGGCTGGCCGTTCTCCTCCTCAACGATCGAGGTACTTGCTGAAACGCGCGACTCGTCAGGGCAGCCTTCGATCGCTGCATGCCCGACTCTAGGGCACGAATTTCGAATTCACGAGCTTCAAGATACGCAGCAACATCGAGTTCTCCGGAAGCAGAAAGGGCAGATTCGGCTGACTGCGCAGCAAGTGTGCGTGCATCGAACGTTTTGGCACGCTTCCGAGCTGCTGCGGAGCCATTTTGTGCTCCTGGATAGGTGGACTTGCGCTTCGCAGCAGGGTTGAGGGCCATTCTGGCCAATGGAGACGTTAGGAAGCGGGCAGGTTATAGTTAAGGAAGGTGTATGATAATAAAGGAAAACCAAGTCTGACCGTTGAAATGGTGGCGTTAAATGTGGTCTGGAATTAAAATTTAATGTACATTTAATACCTGTAGGAAAGCGGTGCTCGGAAAGCTTTAGCGCGTCACACGCCAATGATAGACGGCTAGCCTGCTTTTAGTAAAAGAGCATAGGCCGGGGCCACCGTATCGCAGCCAACGTGTGGGGAAGTCAGGATGCGATAATACAGTAAGGTCTATTGCTTCAAACAGAGTCTTTTCAGAGGAACAAAAGATACTTGATTCTTGTCTGCCTAAAACTAGCTGGTCTGCTCCTTTAATTAGATCCTTCCTCCGTTCTTTCCTGAAAGGGTAGTTGCCCGCAACTGTGACACCGCATACTATGTAATTAGTTAATATCCAACCTATGGGAATATCTTTCTTTGTGCCTGGTAATAAAAAGGCGGAAGTGCACTATAAATGGATATACGGGGTGAATATGTCCTCCTTAGATGTGGCACCGCGCAAATTTATTCACGAAGATTCCTCTGCTGCCTCCCCGTAGCAATATTTATCAAAAATCACCGACTGCCTAATCCTTCTTTTCGAAGCTGTCAGCCAACAAGCACATGAGCTTACAAGCTCAGCTACACAGCTCCCTACAGTGCTTGACTTCCAGGCCCATGTTGTCCACTTGATCAAAGAAACGAAGTCATTCAGAGAGCTTGTTTATACAGACGGTCCCCAAAACTAGGAGATTGTTATCACCTTAATAACATTATCGAGAGACCTTGTCGGTAATAAGAACACTATACTCAAATCTACACCCACTTAAGCTTAAACTAATCTTCTTATTTTAGGAAATATTACAATTCAGTCAAAAAAGTCTTTTGAGTTCGTGTCATGCCAGAAGAAATCCATGACTGTCATCAAAAGTGATGGCACAATCAGCTTTATAAATGGATTTCACCTGGACAACTGACTAGAAATGACATGACATACATTTGGGCCCGGTGAGTCAGTATATCTTATCTGATTTGTGTGTACGACGCTGTTGCTGGTATCCACAGCCTTCAACGTTTCAAGGGCGCGTACATAGGCTCCCGTAAGGAGCCAGGCTTTTCTCTACGATCAGACGCTGTACGTATGCCAAATTTGCCGTTGAAGCCGGTTGGAGTGAGTGGAACTGGGGATATTGGTGAGCCACTATTGTTGAAATGGCAAAATATTGGTCCGAGGCAAAGCAGAGCTCTATGGTTTGGATCGAAATGGCGATGCCGATCTTCAAAGACTCAAAGGTACTCTAGTCGAACCCCTTCACACACACACACACACACACAGTCCCTTCTATTGTACCTAATCAAGCATAGGTCATATTCACTATACCATCCCAGCTCAGTAGTACCCCGGAAAAGATCTTCGTCTCGTGACGCCTTTTACTGGGCCCGGGTTGCCAGGGATCACTGGACTAGGACATCAACGACCTTCGCCGGATAACAATTACTGCCCTTGGCTTTATGGGCTTGGTGCCTGCCTAAATTAGATATTGATAACCAAAATCTCACCACCTCCTCCATGGGTTTTTCTATTTCAAAGAGAATTAATTAGTCATGGTTAATTTACTCCGGAAATTCATACATTTAGCATAGATCTTTGGAGACCGGGCTAACAGAGCTAATTCATACTACGCGATATAAGGTTATTGATCGACATCATACTACGAACAAAGGAGGAATGTTCACGATTTCATAGCTTCGTTATTTATTGTATCTCTAAAGTGGGCTGTCTATTTTTAAAACATTAACCCCACTGCTGAAACGCCAGCATCCTCTAGTAGTCCCACGTCATAGTCCTTGTGCCTGTTGATGTATTTAGAGGTTCTTGATGACGGTCTCAGCGCGCGAGAACTGCGATGACAGTGAGCATGTGTTCAATTAAACAGTCCAAGAGATTGCAGTAGATGGAAACTTACCTCGAGGTGGTTCTTGGCGGGCTCAAGAGCAGCGTAGGTGACCTTGCCGTGGTCAATGACGATGGCGTAGCGCTTGGTGCGGCCCTCCTCATCGGCCCAGCCGAGGCTCTTGGAGAACTTAGCCTCAGGGTCGGAAAGGAAGAGCTATAAAGCCAGTCAGCAAAGGAACCCAGCAGCTAGATGTGATGTAGGTAATGAACATACGATGTCGTCGTTCTTGACATTGTTGGCCTTGGCCCAGGCGCTCATGACGTAGGCATCGTTGTAAGCAAGGACAGCAACAACGTCGACACCCTTCTCACGGATCTCAGGGAGTCTCTCCTGGTACTCGGGGACGTGGCGAGCAGAGCAGACGGGGGTGAAGGCACCGGGAAGAGCGAAGAGGATGACCTTCTTGTCGGCCCACTCCTTGGAGGCGTTGTAGTTGATGGGGATACCGCAAGCGTTGAACTCCTGAGCCTCGGGGGTGTAGGGGATGTAGCTTTGGTAGAATATTAGTATTAATACAACAAGGTTCAAAGGGTGTGATTAGGAACTTACGAGAAGACAACGTCGGAGGGGAAGCTGTCACCGGCCTTGATTCCAGACATTTTGATTGAATTGGTATGTGAGATTGTGTTTGAAAGTTAAAAAGATAAGTGGTTGTGGATGGGGAAGGGTGTTTATTTATGGGATGTGGGTGATGCGGAAAGTCAGAAGAAGAGAGGAGCGAGGGGCAGGAGCATTAATATATAGATGATTCCCTTTCGGAGATCGCGTCCCACGGGCCGTACGAGGCACACCTAAGGTGACCCAAACCAGAAAGATACCGAATCCTTTCGATTGGAGGGCTTAGGTTTGCTGTATTATCAAGAAGACCGCCCGAGACTGAAATGCCCCGCCGTGCCCCCCACTATCCTTTACTCATGGTTACCAAGGTACGTATTGATCCGACGAATCTTTTTCACTTGCCCAGTGAAGTCATCCCGGAACTCCAGTACAGAGAAAGTGAATTGCCATCCTTTATGCAATGTACCTTACTTAATCCTTACTGTGCCTCCATTCCATACCCTCAATGATGGCGTTATGGAAACTTGAGATGAGGATTGTTTGTGTCCCAATGGCGAGGAAGGTGGATCTAGTAGGCCAATTTTGAGCCAATCACGGCTATACCCCGAATGCATAGCAACCACTTCGGTAGCCTTTTTCCTTATCTAATTGCTCTCTGGCGTGTTTGTTCCGAGACGGCTATTGTACTCCGGGTGGCCCAAAAGAAAAAAAAAAAAAGGGACCTTGATATCTCCGACTTTCACCGCCTACTGTCTGCCCCTCGTTTCCACGTGACTGACGCATTTACAGACAGTGGCGGAGCTTTACTTTGATTTGAATTTTTTTAAATAAAGACAAAAGTGCTATGTCATGAAAGATTCGGTTTCTCTTTTCCTGGTTCATGAAAAACCAGGTCAAAAGTAAGATTGGTACCTAGTAAACTAAGTTCGACTATCTTGCCACTCGGACCTGAGCAACTTCGGAGCGAGCATCCGAGAGACGGGAACCATACGGAGATAGAAAGATCTGATAAGATTTGTGCATCTACTCGTAGAAGTTCCATCAGGGGAAAGCTCAGTTTGGAAGAAGTCGGTTATTCGCCGCCTTGAAGCACCAATCTGTACAAATTCCGAAATTCAGGTACCCTTTCATGACTCCAGCAGCTGCCAGGGCTTACATAAGGAATAGGTCTAGTTGGGGCAAAGGATAGTTATCTAGCCTGGTTCCCGATTACACATCAACAAGGTTCTAGAAGCAATACGCTTCCCTTATCCGGACACGCTGAGCCAATAGTTTGTTAATGATTCGGCGACTTTGAAGATTACTAACCGCACCAGGAACTGTCTAAGGGGGGGCCGGGGAATGGCCACATCCTGGTAAGGCTGTATCTTTTCATGGGGTGTGGGTTTGCGTGAAGATCAGATACGGAGTATATTTGCTTATACGTAACATTCATATGGTACGCTACTAGCAATTTAGCGTCTTACAGGGTGAAGGTATTGTTAATATATCTTTGATTCTCCGTAACTAAAATCTCGGAGGCCGTTGCAGTTCGCGGATACGTAAATACAGATATATATAAAGGTAGATAGATATGTACCATCCCAATACAGATACCGACTCACAAGGGATGCAAACAAAGCTCTGATACCATGGCAGTATTATATAGTTACATATATATAACAAGCATTTGTTTTTTCTTAAATCCAAGGTGGTGGTTTACGGGACACTAGTCTGGTAGGCTGGTACGCACTGCTGCGACATAGTATCAAGAGCTAGTTGAATCTTGGTATATGTGCTCTATGGTTTACCTCGCAGAAGCGAGTACCTATAATCCAGGTCAATGGAATTTTCTACCTCTATGTACACAAATTATTAAAAGGATGTGTAGCTGCATATAAGTCAAAGAAGTGTAGGGTTTCGAGAGCCTAGTGCTGCTGCTCTGGTAGCTCTTGCAGATACATAAAGCCTATTATGATGTCATGTGGCAAAGATAACTCCATAAACAGAATATGTTCTCCATGTATTGTGTATTTACCTTGTACTTTGTACTTCGTATGTGAACCTGATGTTCTTAGTAAAATCCCGTAGTGGGTTCAGAAAAGCGTGGTTCTGATGTCAACTACGCTTCAAACCCCGAACTCTATGTATCGGCCGAAAGGTGTCAAAGTGCAACCCCATAGCTTTAATTGAACGTGCCTACATAAGATAAGACTAAAAAGATAACTTGCATAAGGCTGACACGTGACAAGGCTTATATACATGTCCCACATTACTTACTAACGCCTTACTGTGACTCAATCTGATGTACGCACACACTGCCGAGAAAGGAATTATACGCTGTTGAGGTCGTGCGTTGGATCAATATGGCTGACATCAAACCACCGTTTACCGAGGAGTCGGCGAGAAAGAAGGTCAAAGCAGCACAGAATTTGTGGAATACCCAGTAAGTATGCTCTGTTCTGAGCTCCAACAATCATCCCTCTGGCCCTTCGTGCTTGGTCTTAAATGTAGGGATTCCATGGCATTTTATCCCATGCTGCTGGCACGAGGGGCTATAGTTATCCCACCATGACATGGTTTTGATGTTTCATCCCTTGCTCGCAGTTATGCGACCACCTCGTGGCTTAATTCATCTGCCTCCACTTTATTTGCATCGCTCTTTCTCCTTCATACTCCCTTTCAAGTTTCGGTCGCATTAGTATAGCTTACTGTGCTGAGAAATCTGTCGCCCTTTACTTACAATATGTGAACTAGAGACCCAGTACGTGTCGCTCAAGCCTATACACCAGATTGTGTTTGGCGCAATCGTACTTCATTTTTCTCCGGGACGGATAATATCACCTCTTTCTTAACTGCAAAATGGAAGCGTGAAGCAAATTACAGGCTTCGAAAGGAGCTGTTTTCATTCACTGACGACCGTATTGCGGTGCAGTTCTGGTATGAATATCAAGATGTTGAAGATGGGATGCGCTGGAAGCGCTGCTACGGCCTCGAGGACTGGACCTTTGACGGAGAAACAGGAAAGATGAAGAAAAGGATGATGAGTGGCAATGACCTGGTATTAGGAACTAATGGGAACGGGGAAGGGAGGTGGTTTGTCGATGATGTTGATGTTGAAGATGTGGTGATTAGTGAGGAACATTGGTGACAAGCTTAAATTCGACCACACCAGTTCTTATTGCACGATTCGACTTAACCGTTGCGCAATTTTACGAAAGCGACATGCCAAGTCGATAATGACACCGACCTTCCATAATTTCTGACGATTCTATTTGGCGTATTGATTCATACTACGTACTAAGCCCTGGCTCATTCTGTTAGTACGAAGCTAGTTTACCCTGCCAGTTGAGTGCATCTTCTTTTGTCGCCCAGAAGAGCTTAGCTTTCATCAATCTCTGGGAAATTATCTGCAGGTGATGATCATGCCTGGAATGTCTCATTCGCGGTATCAGGATACTAGTCTCTCTAGTTGAATGTCCTCCCTCCATCCCTTGATTCAGAACCCCTCCCCTCCCCCTTGCCCAACCCTAATGTTGATATTTTGCCATCAAGGATAGTATTGCGTAAAAGAAAAGAAAAAAGCGAAACAGAAGAAAGAGAAAGGGACAGATGTTGAGCACTTCGTGAGATAATGCTTTTACTTCGAGAATCTGCAGCACTTCTGGAAAGCCCAAAGGGAGGAATGTAGACCGACTGGAACAAAACCAGCCACTGTAGCCTCTCAGGGTTGACCAATGTATCCGATGATCGATGACACGAGCAAATCCCTGGCGGGAACTTCTGTATGCTACACGGAGCAAGGGGTGTGCGCGGGCTTTTTACTACCGCTACCACCTTTTCTGGTCCGCCATGGCCTGGTATACTACAACTGACTTGTGCTGGAGTACGTCTGAAACTTCTAGAGTTCAACTTTGACCAATATAGACTTTGTACGTTAATCAAATTCGAGTTAAGCGTGCTACCCTCGAAAACCTGGAAACATAGGAGGGTTAATGTAGTGCATTCCAGAGGGTGATATCGACCGATGCCCGGGGGACCTGAGGAATTCAAAGGAAACAAACACTTCAACAATCATTCCACGAATGACTTTGACCTCAACATGGTATGCTCTAATCCAACTAGCGTGTCGTGGGTGGGAATTGGGTATGCTCCCTGGAACCCTTGGAGTGGAAATCACTCTGGCGCGTTGAAGACTGTCGGTTATCCTTCTCAAGTGCGCTCCGAATCGCGAATACAACAACAGTCCGAAGATATACTGGCGCCAACCCGTGTCGACAATATACCCCACGCTCTCTACCCGTGCACTCGCTGATGCGTGTCTGAATCTCGGCTTGGAGATAACTAACCAAAGGCGACTCAAAGCGTAATCCGCAAATCCGCGTCGATTATCTTTCTGTCTGGCCAAGGTGAGCTGAAGACGCCCTACGTATTGCTGGAGATCTGACCTAGAATTACTCTCTAATGACGTACAGTTTTATTGAGGAGAATTTCACACATGTGGCCTGGCAGTGATTGTATCCAACTGTCGTGTTAGCCTGCGGTTACATGGCAATGGAACAAAAGACTGCACATCTTAGTCCGGAGTCCGTACGAACGCCTCTTGTCGATGTTAACAACAGAGTCAACATTTGTCCCAGCCCAAGCTTGGTACAAGAGGAAGGATCAATGGGAGACCTCCAATATCTGAGCTCGCCACAGCCAATGTCTATAGTGACTAGCCCACCAGAACAGAGAGGATATGTGGATAACAACTGTCTTTCGCCGACGGCAAACCCGAAGACTTCATCTAAGCGGAACTCAACTTTGTCAGTGAAGTCGATCATTTCAAACCAAGGAAAGCGCAAAACCCATATCGGACCATGGCAACTTGGAAAGAATCTTGGGGAAGGCACGACAGGTCGGGTGCGACTAGCTAAGCATAAGTTGACCGGGCAATCTGCGGCAATTAAGATAGTGTCGAAGACGTCTGCAGCGATGACCCAGAGTGTCAGTATTGCAGCAATGGACAAGAATAGAGGGCTTCGCGGTAAATCAGGGGTCAGGCAAATGCCATCTGGTATCGAGCGGGAGGTTGTTATCATGAAACTTATTGAACACCCAAACGTCGTCCGTTTGTACGATGTGTGGGAAAATAGAGGTGAAATGTAGGTGGGTCTTGAGGCTTTGATCATGTCATCACTGACATCTGACAGATATCTTGTACTCGAATACGTTGAGGGTGGGGAGTTGTTCCACTACATCACAGAAAATGGACCACTTAAAGAATCCGAAGCAGTGAAGTTGCTCCGGCAGATCCTTGCTGGCCTTGGATACTGCCATCGCTTCGGTATCTGCCACCGAGATTTGAAGCCGGAAAATATTCTTTTGGATTCGCAGGGCAACGTGAAACTTGCTGACTTTGGAATGGCCGCTCTTCAACCGGCGGGTTATTGGCTTAAAACATCATGCGGAAGTCCGCATTATGCTGCCCCAGAAATCGTTAGAGGTGATAATTACCGCGGCGATATGGCTGATGTATGGAGCTGTGGTATTATCCTATTTGCACTACTAACCAGTTATTTGCCCTTTGATGGCCACGACCTAAGTAGCACATTAAAGTTGGTGAAAACAGCTAAGGTCGAGATTCCACCAGAGGTGAGCTATGAAGCGGCGGATCTCATTCACAAGATCCTTCAGAAAAAGCCAGAGAAACGGATCACTATGGCGGAAATTTGGAAGCATCCTCTTTTGAGGAGATACGAAGGCTTAGACCCAGTAAGGACTAATCCTTGTATAGGCCCTGCACCTTCGTGGTCTGTGCAGGAGTGTGGACCGCGCATTAGCAGACATGAACTTGGGTCGGAGTCTGATATATTAAGGAACCTCCAAACATTATGGCACGACGTGGAAAAGGAGGTCTTGATTGAAAGGTTACTGGACCCAGAGTAAGTTCGGTTCGCTACGATATAGCTCCGCTCTCCTGTTTGATTGGTCCATGTAGAAGCTTTTCTTGACTGACAACGCTACAATAGACCGAATCTCGAGAGAATGTTTTACAATGCTCTAGTCAGGTTTAGAGATGAGCATTTGGAGAGCTGGCCAGGCCAGTCTCTTGAGTACTCAGCCAGTGACTATCACCACATGTCCAAGGATTCAAATGAAGCCTTCAGCCAACGGGATAATCGCCGCTCTAGAGGATCCCGACGACGTGGACAAGTCCCCATGGGCAAAGCCGCTCAATTAAGAAACAATACTATTCAAGAGCCAAAATCCTGCGCAACCGTTGGTAGCTATGATCCCTTCCGCTCACCATGTCATGTTGTGTCAGAAAAAGAAGCATATACCCATATCACAATCCATAGGGACCTTTTGGACAATGCAGGCAAGAGGGAAGATTATGATAGAATTGCGGAGCCAAGCGTCATATCTGAAGAAGATTTTGGAGATCAAACTCCATGCCCTCCAAGCTCTCCTTTTGCAATTGTACAGAACAAGAAAAAGCCGAGCTCTCTGAAGTCTTTCCACTCAAGAACCTCACATGCCGGCAACCGACGGCAACTCAACGGTATGACAGCGCCTCGTTCTGCAAGCTACAAGCGTAATGTTTGCTTCCGCCACATGAGAAACCGTTCACAAGGCTCAACAACTGCAATAAAAATGAAGGGTGCCACTACAAATGTCCCAGAGAAGGACATGAGCGAGAATAGTCTGGTATCTATAGACGCTGGCCCCTTCGTTGATCGGGAAAACAGCCCGCTGTTGCCTGCCCAACCAGCTGTGGTACGAAGGCCTGGAGTTGCGTTGAGGGCGTGTGCCCCTCAGAAGAAGGTGCGCGAGTCTGACTTTATCTGGAAGGATGATACACGCCAGGTGTCGCATGAACTTAGCCAAATCTGCGAGGAGGCCTTTAATCGCGGGTCACTGTCAACAGGCTGCACGACAACAAGTACATGCATGAGTGCAGAGACCCCCGCGACATCCGTGTCTATGGCTAGTCCTGAAGTATCACATAGTCGTATTGCTACTAGCAATTCAAGAGCTCCGGTGACACCGTCGCCAAGATCCTTTACTGCTGCAGAGTTGACTGAAACGCGGCGCAAACTCATTGCCCATTCCACCCAGGACGGCACCGAGGGCGTACCTGGAAACCTTGTGGCTGTGATCAAGCACCTTGATCGTCTCATCGAGCAAGATAAGGCCCGGCAGCGTGAGCAGCTCTTCACTCCTGAGCGTGCTAATGAACCAGCAGCACAACCCAGCGAACAATCATGGGATGTCGGTGGCCTGCCAAAAATATCAGAAGAGCTTCATAACCGACAAAGCAATGGAGGAGGGAAATATAAGCCTTATCGACCTGGTGCAATAACGAGCACTGGCACTAACACAGGTTGCCTTAGCCGGAATGGCATAGGAACTATCCGAATGGTCCCTCAAAGTTCTGTGCCTTCCTTAGAAACTATTCAACCTCTAACAATTCGCAAGAAAAGCGAAGAACCATCTACTGATGATAATCAAGAGCCATTTACGGATGGCTCCAACGAGGAAGATCTTGCACCTTGGAGATATTCTTCCTTGAACTCCTTCCACCCCCGTCAACCTTGTGAGCTTGACCCTATTGCAGAAATCCCGCCAAAGTCAGAGAAGCGCAACGCAGCGCGGCATGCCGACAACAAGAAGTGGTCGTGGTTACCCATCAAGTACCAACCACCTGCAGAAACTGCATACAAGAATCTGAAACCACTACACCCAGTCGACAGAACTGTTACTGTGCATCCTTTTGCAGACAGCTCCAACAACCAGCCGGAGACCCCAGGAGGAAAGACCAAAGGAGGCTTCTTCAGAAAATTCATGAAAGGTAAAGCAAGTAACCGTAAGCACCCGACAACAGGTCAGTAACGTCCAACCAATACCCTATGACCATCACCTGACAATCCTGTACCAGACACTCAAATGACAGACACAACACCCACACTCAGAAACTCCATTGAACATACTCGCTTGGTGAACGCCGATAAACCCTCCCCCAGAGACCCGGTGCCTCACGAAAGCCCGTGAATTGGTTTGCACGCATGTTCCAGTTCACCCCTGCCACCAAGGCCCTCGCACTCAACACCTCCAAAATGAAAGGCAGAAAGGAAGTGCATAAGATCCTCCGGGAATGGAAGCCCTATGGTATGAACGTCCATTACGATAAAGCCGACGGCATAATCCACGGGAAAGTCTCCAGATCCAATTGTAAGTTAACAACACTATACCTATTCACACTATTCTAGTATCCTAACTGTCGCCCAGTCCGCCAGATTCGCCCTGTCGCATTTTCTGCCGAGTTCTACACCGTCCTCGAAGACGGCCGACGAGGCAACCTTAGTCTGGTCCGATTCAAGCAAGAAAGAGGCGCAGTCTCATCCTTCAACCAGGTCATCGATACCCTGGACATGGTCATGAAGCAGCGCGGCCTGCTAGTGGAAGACTCAGTTCGTGCGGAGCAGATGATGAAGGTCCTGGATAAATACCAGGATCCTCAAGGTAAATGAAACGAGTCAAATCACAAGCACCTTCTATATCTCCATTTAATATCTCTTTACTCTTCCTAACCCCCCAACATCATGTACCAACAAGAACAGGTACAGAAGCACAAACATTTGTTCTAATAATACCCTATTCACAATTTCCATGTTATACACCGGGAAATCCGGATCAGTTTTGTTTGCACACATGATATCTATCAGTTTTGGACCCGGGTGTTTGAAATAACCGGATGGAGTCTGGTCTCTTTTTTCCGTATCTCGATGTGTGTATGTTTCTGTATCATCCATTTCTCCCTTCTATGTTCCTGCCCTTATCTATTTCCTTAAACCTATGAAAAACCCATTCGTTACATATTCAGCCATCTCCTATGTCTTCAAACGTTCGTTCTGCATCACAATACACACCTCATGTCTCATTGCAATCTCCTGACAAATATCCCTCCTCCGTTATCCCGCTGTCTTGCCTCTTCAAACAAGCAAATAATTTGTCTTGTCTGTCCTTGAACCTACTAGTCCCCCCGGATGCCTGCCGTTCGTTTATGTTCCATACTTGGTTTACAGGAAACGTCTCACAATAAATTAGATAGAAATTAGGTTAGAGAGAAATGAATCAATTGAGATCTTCGTGATTTTCTGCTTCTCCGCAGTGCAAATTATTAGAATAGTCTAGGTGCCGTCAGATCGTGGTGTTCGCATAATATGATCGTACTTCAAGCAATCTTGATCCTTGGATCATATGGTGGATAATGATATACAAGGAAATGCTACTCTAATGGCATGAAGATACTATTAACCTGTATAGGGACTTACTCTGTACTAGAATTCAATAAGAAAAAAATTAGACTCATAAACCGTAGCATTCGAAGAAAAAAGTATGCACAATGCAATATAAAAACCAAAATCAACAAGTAAGCATTGGAATCTGCGAGTCATAAAAAGATAGAAACAAAAAAATTGATCAGACAGCCTCCCAAGTATCACAAAACAGGTTATGATGGGAAATAAAAAAAACGGGGGAAAATAATAAAAAAAGATGACCTCCTTTTTCGCAATGGTAAATACCTTGATCACAAATAACAAGCAAGTCGCAAACAAGCCGCGAAATGGAACATATCATGAAAATACAACAGAGAGCCACCCGAAATGTATAGGAACACTAAGAACGATGAAACAACTGCCGCTAGAGAAAAGAATTGAAAATGGTCCATCAAAAGAAAAGGACGAGAGGTAAATGCAGCAAAATCCCACACCATGAATGGTTCCGTGATAGTCGACGCTGAAAGACATCCACGTCCAGTGCATACAACACTCATTCTCCTAATCCTGCCTGAATCATACTCACTGATTTGGGCCACTTTTCCAGACCTGTTCGCATACACAAGGTCAATAAACTTTCTAGGATGTACCAGAAAATTCTTTGTGGAGATTGCCCGTCAAATCCGACCCAACAACGCCACGATAGATGGCATCTCAGGTGCCGACTCGGTCAGACAGAGTGGTCCGGGAACGAGGGCGAAAATGGTTGCAACGGCGCAAAGTAACCCAAAAACGCAGTGATATGGAAGACTGGATGTCCGAGAGAAAACACAACGGAGATAACGACAGAAAGAAAATTCCATTAGTGGGTTGCCCCAGATAGTTTATAAAGCCGTGATGTTGTATTTCGCAAAGGGAAATTTAGGTGATAAATAAAAGAACTGCGAGTTATCGACTGTCAAGTGTGAGGCCCGTCCGATTGAATCCGCAAAACTGACAATCCGCACTACCTCATTGGCAGTCATTGATGACCGACAACTCCCTATACAGATCGTGCAGCTCATAACACTCTTGCATCTCGTTTCCATGGCTTCGTAGCAGTCGAAATAATGTTGATATTTGTTGTTTTTCTTTTTTTTTTTTTTTTTTTTCTTCTTCTCTTCAAATATCCCTTCCACCGGAGGTATCGTTACCACTTCCTTCTTGCGAACGACCCTTTTTTTTGGCCTCATCACCGCCATAGTCTGAGCCCAAAGTCGATCTTCCACCCGGGTACTTGTTATAATCTTCTGTCGTCGCCGTATGTTGTCTTGTCGCGTCCCGTCGTCGGTACAAGAGGAAACGGGAATACGCTTCGTTCTCGTATTGTCATGATACCTCTCTTGCTTCAATTTGATGTTTCCCCCTCTTTTCTTCCCCGTAGCAGACGGCACAGTCGTATATCTTCCAAAGGCAAGGAATGCTTGCATATGACGTGTGGAGGACCGTGTGGCCAGCACACACAACCTTCCGCGTCAACCACCAACGAAACTGAATCCGATATCTGCAGCTCCATCCCGTCTATTCGCACCACCTCTTACTCATCTAACCCAGCTTCCACCCAGACCATCATCGCGTTGCAGGCGTATCGAGAATGTGCCATGGAGGGCTTACTGGTTCAAGCCCCGCCGGTTTAGGGCATTCAGCATATCACTATCAGTGCTAGAGCGACCTTGGCTGTCTCCTGGATTCAACATGTCACGAACATTCAGGCCACCACGAGACGAGCCACCAGGGGTAGAAGTGGGTGGGGGTGTCATCGCGCTTTGACCAGGGTGCATAGGAGGATAGGGTGAGTTGTGGGGAGATGAGGAGTGACGATTATCGTAAGGGTACGCCGACTGCGGAGAAGGACGTCGATCATGCTGAGGTGGAGGTGGATAGTATGGACTTGAGGTAGAATGTGCTTGATATCCTGGCGCAGATGTTGCCGGCGTTACGGGTGCCAGATTGGTTGGATCGGGATACTCGAATCCTGAGCTCGAGCTGCGACGGCCAATAGGTCGCTGTTTGCAAAGGAACCGGTGAGTAAGGGTGTACTTGACGAATAGGGATGAGGTGGGACTTACAGGATCTTGAGATGAGAGAGGTGGGGGTGCGCTTCCATAAGGATTCTGATACATTCCCTGTGGTGGAGGAAGTGTGGCATCCGGTGGAGCTTGAGGTTGTTGTTGGGGTGGTAAAGGCTGACCGTGGGCACCATAAAGCATTACCGGGGCACCACCACGTGGTTGGTTCTGTGCGTTTCTCAGGTGTGGGTAGGCAGCATGTGCAGGAACAAAAGCTTGCGCCTGAGAGGAAACTGGCGTGAACATGCACTCTTGGTTAAAGCGGATACAATTACTGCAACGCCCATCCTGAGAACTTTCGAATCCCGAGCACCTAATCTATTTGCCGTTATAACCACTGTCAGCTCACAACTGCCTACTCAAAAGCCGGACAATATGGCTCATAGCCTAATACTGTAGAAGCATACCTTCCGTCTCCGGCAGTAACGACAGGCGATAGCTGTCCGCTGTCGTGGAGCGGCAGCTTGGTAGACCACTTGGGGCGGAGGTGGTTGAGCGTAAACGTCTGGGGGGCGATAAGCACCAGGGGGCGGTGGAAGGCGGTAGGGGTCTTGCGGGCCCTGAACATGCGGATGAATGGCAGCCATGTTTGGCGGCGGCGGATACTGTGACGGCGGCGGAGGATATTGGTGGTCCGCAGTCGGTGGAGGGTACGAAGCCGGAGGATACTGGATGCGACCACTGTGTCAGTGACCGCAGACTCAATTGTGAAAGGCAAGAATTGATGGAAATAGACGGAACGATGAGGCCCCAAGAGGCAGCGAGGAAGGAAGGGGAAGCTGATATATCGCAGCAAAGAGGAAACAGTGCAACCCGTCGGCGCAGAAAAGGTCAGGGTGGTATAAAAGAGTGAAACATACAGGGTATTGAGAAGCCGGCGGATAATGAGCGGAAGGGTTATCCTCAGGTTGACTAGTGTTCCACTGAGGAGGTGGATACTGTCCCTGTCGATTAGGGTCGCTGAAATCGTGGGGGTTGCTGGACATTTGTAGTCGAGAGAGCGCGAAAGGCTGCTTAAGAAACGGAACGAGACGGGGGTGGGAAAAGGAAAAACAAATGCAGGATGATGTGAGAGTCGAGTCACGTCCCGCGGGTTGTTTGGTCGAAGCTGCTGGCTGAGCAGGGATGGTTGTCCGTATGTATGGGTGTATGTATGGGGTTATTTGTATGTATGTATGTAAAGGAACGGAACGGCCGATCGTATGTAAGTATGTATGGGTGTATGTATGTAAGTACGGTACGTATGTACGCAGTACGCAGGCCAAGTGTGTCTGTGTGGTGTGCGTGTGGTGTGCGGTGGTGCGTGAGAAAAAGTGCAAGGTAAGGCGACCAGGATTGGAGAGATGCGGAGTCCAAGCCGGTCAGAAAAGCAGTCCAAATCAAAACAGTTCCAGCTCCCGTCGGGTGATTTGCAAGGCTAGCATAGCCTCGTGGTCACGCTGGAACCAGACGGGGAAGTAATAAGGAAAGATGAGGCCTAATCCACAGAGGGAAGAGGAAGCCGAAGAGGAAACGCGGGATAAGAGCGCAGAACAGGGGGTGGGAGGCGAGAGGCGGTGGAGAGCCACCAAGGCAAAAGAGGGAGGAAAAAAAAAGAAAAAAAAAAAAAAAAGGAAAATAAAAGAGAGGTACGAAATATTCAGCTAAATTAGCAAGGGCCAGGAAAGGATTAAGGGAAGGGGCAAAATAATAATAAAAAATAAATAAAAAATAAAAACAAAAGAACAAAGAGCTATGGTAATCGTTGTGAAAAATGTAATGAAAAAGGAAAAAACGAAAGAGTATCTACTGATTTCCAGTGATTCCAGTTATGACGTGAGCGTTGAGTGCTTCCTTTTATGTCCTTCTGGTTCAGCAAATGATGGCAACGTATAAAGTAGGTCGGGAGGTACAAAAAAGAAAATACGATAGTAGTAAAAGTGGACTCGGACGGGTTAACAGATGGGAGAATAAAAACGACGGGGGACCCCCAAATCCACTAGAAAAAGCAAAGTCACTGACTGCTCGGGCAGTAGTTCCTAGTAGGTAGCGGTAGCGTTAGGTAGTGGGAATCAGCAAGTAAAGGAATCGGAGTAGTATCCCTATAAGCCTGGCAGTAGCGCTATGCACTATGTCAGTATATCAAACACCACAAGAACCACAGTTGCGAGATGAGCTGGAAACTTGTCGGCAGGGGGCACTATAGTATTGGAATTTATTCCACCTTTTTTTGTTATTCCTCTATTTTTTCCCCTCCTTGCAAAGGAATTAATAAGAACAAAAGGTGTGTGTGTGTGCACAGACTGGGACGTCAAGGCAGTAAATAGTTTCTGCAGGGGGAATTCCGTAAAGGCGTGCTTAGGAAAGCGGAAAGTCTTAAGAAGTTTTTCTTAAGGGAGCTTACCAAAAGGTAGTGCAGGTAAATGGCCTCTAGTATGTAATTGAATCACAGGAAGAAGTAGAAGAAATGTAGGAGAGCTACAAAGTATTCTTTTTCACACTTTCTCTTTTCGTGGGAAGAAGCAAAGCCCACTGAGAAATAACACCAATAACGAAAAATAAATTAAGGGAAAAAAAAGAGCAAGTGGTGACCGAGGAAGGGAAGAACGAGATGCAATGGAACAAACAGCTCTTACTCCATAGATAGTTCGAAAACAGACGAATGACGAAGACGGAAGGTATTCAAGCCTTCACTGCCTTTTTTTTTCAATTTTAAATTGTAGTTTCTTTTTATTTCTGATAATCCGAGTCATGGTATTATTTCTACAATGAAATACGAATACTGCCACTCTCGTCTAGACGACTGGCTACGTAGTAGCTGCCTACTTGGTAACTAGATCATGAAGACCAAGAAGTCAGGAAATATTAATACTAAAAGACTGGTTCTTTGGGTCGCCGACTCGCCGGTCCGTCCGGGAGGCAAAAAATAAAGAACAAATCAAAGGAGGGAAACGGTTGGGTCAAGCGCGTCAAAATACACGAGATGCAGGGTGGGAGTTCCACGGCTGGCGGAAAGCGGAAAGGCGGGAAGATTCGCAGATGGATCTCAAGGTATGTTGTAACAGGACAATTCCTTGGGTCGACTGGGTCTTTGGGTATGCTGGAACCTGGAAATTTGACGGTTTGTCCTATGGAATTTCGTTTTCGTTGAGGTACCACGGACAATTCACTAGTCATTTATTCAGGTATAGACGAATTTGATTGGTCCAAACAGGAAAAAAAAATAATCACCACGGGAATTAATTATCATTGATGAAATAATTGCCAGATTCCATCGGTAGGCGATGACCGGGCAGAAATTAGCTGATGCGATTGGGAGAGATGGGGCAATGGACGTTGTGGGCATTGTCATCGGCGTCAGCACCAGCTGGGCACTGGAGAAATATAAGTGTAAGCAAGAAAATAATACTACTACTAATAATAATAATAATAATAATAATAGTTTATACGAATAATATTCCATAGATGAGGTGGTAAAAAAGAGAATTACAGTAGCGGTCATGAAAAAGAAACACCGTCGAAGAACGGTCCGCGGACAGGGTGGGGCCCTGTCCAACACGCCAGCGACCCATAGACATGGACGGGGAGTCATTAAGACGCAGCTAAAGCATTCATGGTTCCATGGAGATCACCTGAATCGCTGTAAGCCCTTCGGGTTGGGCGTTTGCCAGACCCCGGCGACCACCCCAGCAGCGACTACTGTAGAGTCTAGAGCCTGAAGAGGGGCGTAAGTTTGCAAGTGACGAGTGATGACGGATGAAGGGTGCTCCGGGACGGGTAAAGGCGCCGTGACGGAGCTCCACCGACCGCTTCAATTCCTTCCGTCTCCAGTTTGGGCTCTTTTCTTTTCTTTTCTTTAATTTTTTTTTTCTTCTTCTTCTTTTTTTGGCGACTTACATGGATGATTAAGTTGCTGTCCGAAAGTGGCCTAGAGATACTGGTAATATTACTTACGACCTACCGGGCTTGAAATGATAAACATACATATCTAACCTATGATCGTTGAGATCGATTCCTTCGCATATGCTTTATCAGGGAAACGTTCTTGATCATTCTTATTTTAGGTGCGGTTTCATATCTCTGGCTTTCCATTTTTATCTAAGACAGAAGGAATAGCTGTACAAAGATATGGAGACTAACTTCCACATGTTTCATCTGACCATGGCTGAACGGCCTGAGGCTATCCCTTTTCAGGATCTAAGCCGGTGCCCTGTGCTTTGCACCGGTCCCTAGATAGGAACTACTTGCAGTAGTAACTTACGTCCAGGTGTGAGACTAGATACCACGCGTACTCCATCGTGACCTGCAGATAGACGACGGTACGGGGTCAGGCCCGGTTGGTCGTCCTCCTGGGTGAGTACGGTAGTATACAGGATACGTATAACTTCAATAATGGATGGAGACCCAAGTGCTCTATGCCGCAATCGATTTCAAAAATACATACACAGAGGGGCACAAGTCGACTTGATCATTATCAAGATGGGAGGACATACATGCTGGGCCCACCCGGGTAATGCCCGAATCCCTAGAAGAGGGGCTGACGGCCCGTGGATGGCAACGAATAATCGTTTAAAGTGTACCAATCGCGGCCTGCAGAAGATTAATCATCCAGCCCTTTTGCTGTATCAAGCCTCCATTCATAAAGAAATTTACTTCTTCAAGTTACACTGCTTACTAGCTGAGGTCCTTGGCCGGGTATCCAACGGACACAGAAAATCCGACTCATCAGGAAATGTTATTCTATCAAAGAGAAACATGTTGGGAATCATATGAAAGCAACAAAATCCACTGGTTTCTCACCATCTCGTGTCCCCTTTGTCCTCCGTCTATGGTTACCGGGCTCATGTTCTTGGGACGCACTAGGTATTAAGGGTACCAAGGTTCCCAGTCCATACTTGGTTTTTTTTTTTTTTTTTTTTGAATGAAAAAATAAACAAATAATAAAATAATAAAATAACTAATGATAGAAAAAAATCGATAATAATTTCTTGGAGTGCTCCAGCCGTGCGGGCGAACTAGTAGTACACATGGCTGAACATACATAAGTGACCTAAGAACCATGGTTAACTGCTTAACTAGTGTACCAGTATTCGGACCAACGCATACACTCCTTTTTTTCCTTTTTTTTTTTTTCCTCCTTCAAGGCCTTTTCTCCAGCGGTATTTGACCCAGTGACCACAAATTAACATGAGCAAATATAACGATGGGTTCGTTTGATTACGATAGTCGTGCCTTCTTGTTGGATGGGGCCTACTCCTTGCATTGAACCTGATGACCAAGAGTGTGGCGGGCATTCTCAACCAACTACCAGCCCTACGTGTGGGCACAGCAGGTACCTGGAGCTCAGATCTTAAAAATACCATATGTAGAATTACTAGGTCTAATTATGCGATGACAGAGATAACCCTTGCTTTATATCTCAACCACCTGATCTCTTATAACTTGATAGAGTACTTGTATCTTGCCATCTCAGTTGGTCTACACTTACGGCTAATCGGCTCTGGTATGCGCCTCGCAGTAGTGCCCGCGGACATGCAGCGGCTCTCCTGCTGTGGTCGGGTTCCAAAATCATACAGGGTTCCTCCATGAATCAACCAGGGTAGGGATGTCACCAAGCAAACATCTGGGTGGCTGATTGGCGAGTATTCCTGCACGGTAGGTGCTTACCCCAGTTCTCATTACCGGCCAACCCCTTGTATCCTTGCCCGGCAACCCGCATGCCGCTTATCTCGCTGCTGAAGAAGCGGGACCTAGATCAGTTAACTCACTATGCAAAGCCGCTGGCACGAGTTTCAGTGGCTTTAACCATTGCGCCCTGCACAGTACTTTGACTCCCTTGCATCCGGGAACTCGGGGATCACTCGCGAACGGCCCAGCCCGTCCACAAGGGCCGCGGGCCATGGTACCAACCCGCGATCTTGTCATCATAGCACCGAAAACGGTTCTGCAATGCATAGGAGGAATGTCCCATCCATTTGGGTTCCCTCCCCCTTTTCTTTCTTTCTTT